CTCTTACAAGTTGAACAGGAGCAAATCATCGACCTTGAAAAGAATTCCAGAGGGGTTGGGAGAGGAATGTGAACTAAGTTTGCCTGGCTGAGTTAGCCAGCAAGGTCTTGTTCTTAGGGGGAGAATGATATTCTTTGATCAGATGCCAGATATAGGAGCTGGTTATTTTCTCTGTAGGCTCTACCACAGCATGGAGAACAGATCTGGTGACTTTGGGGCCAGTGTAGCTCATAAGACTGAAGAAATGAGAGTTTTTTCAGAAGGCGGGCCTTAGGGTCACCTACAGGGAGAATGGTGGATTGGTATTTGCATGTCAGGAATATCTGTTGTTGAGAGACTCCTCAGCCCCTTCTCATCTGCTGTGTGAGTTAACTGGCCATACTGCCTCTCCTCAGGCTTGGCATATGCTCTTCCTCCATCTCTCTCCCTAGCCCTCACCCTAGCCAATTCCCACTCATTCTTCAGGTATCAGCTTAGCTGTCCCTTCCTCTAGTTACCAAACTGTGGGCCTGTCTTCTGCTCCACAGCACCTGGAACTTCCCTATCACAGCACTTGTCCCACTGTATTTAAATTGTTTTACATGTCAGTGGATTTAAATTCCTTAAGGGCAGAGACTGTGTCTTCTCTTATATTCTCCCTGTCTAGCATTGGACAGTCAGTAGGTACCCAATAAATACAGTATTTGCTGAATGAATAAGCAGTCCTTTCACATCTAATTTCTTATTTGACCCTCACAACAGCCTAGTGATGTAGACAGCTCAGGCCTTACTCTGACCTCATGTTGTATATGAAGAAACCCATACTTACAGAGAAGCTAAGCCCCTTGCCACAGTGAGATCCTGATGGAGATCCAGGATTTAAACTGGTGTTTCTCAGGCATGAATGTTCAATACATTGTTTTGTTTTGTTTTTACAAACTTTTTCCTTTTAAAAAATAGCATTAAGTTAAACATTAAAATAGTATTTGTTGTTTTTCAAGATTACAAAAACAATATCTTCAAGGCACCAATATTCCTGCAATGCTTTTTCCTTACTGAATTTTGAATTTCAATACAGAGAAATCTAGATAAAATGTTAAATGCTGTATAATCAGATTCTAAATTCCAATGTGTATTGCAAAAAAATTATTGTGCATTTTTCTTAAAAAGTAAAACTTGACTAAAAATAATAGCATAAAAAAGTAATAATTTCATTGTATACAGTTTAGAGAATACTGAAAGATGAAAATCACCCCATCACACAGAGAAAACTTCTATGAATTAGAAATGGCCTGAACTTAAAAGGGCAACATTGAGTTTGAATCCTAGTCTAACCACTAACTAGATGTTTGGCATTTGGCAGATTAATTTTGAGCCTATTTCCTCAACTGATATATGATGAAATACTTTGGGGATTATTGTAAGAATTATAGATAACGTACATAAAATACCTAGCACAGTGCCTGAAACATAGTTGGCCCACTTCCAAATTGTAGCAATATTAGCCTTTTTGTGTATTTCTGTCTAGTGTTTCTACTCTGTTGTGTGTGCATACCTACCTGTATATATATATATATATATATATATATATATATATGCTTTCTGATATATGTTATATTAAGTTGTCATTGATAGAGTTGCTGGAAAGGGCAGGTATTATTTTTAATCCTATTCTGTAGATGAGGAAACGGAGACTCTAAGAGGGAAAATAACTTCGCCTTGGTGCTGTATCTCATAATACCTGAACAAGGACTTGCACATGGGTCTCCTAATGCCAAGCCCATGTGCCTTCCCTGTCAACAGCACACTTCTTCTCCAGCTCCACCTCCACCAATACACAATGGTAGACCACAGATCCCTGCTCAAGAGGAAGGCAGGGGCTGGAGGCAGTAGAAGTGCAGGGAGCCTCTATACCAGCTGATGTCTGTCTGAAAACTTAAAAGAAGTGCTTATTTCCTCTGAAGTGACAGACATATTGCCCCATCCCTTAGCAAGGACCAGGCTTCTGGCTAGAAAGTTAAGAACTTTGGGGTCAGAGGATTTTTTTTTAGAGGGAGTTTGTCAGGGAACTCAGAACTGAATAGCCTTACTCCATGTTGTATGCAAGAGAAAGGTATACCCACATTTCTTTCAGTGTGTGCATTTGGTACTTAAAGGGCCTGGATGCCATGCATTGCACTAAAGCTAAGTATGAGCATCATTTCATATCATTTTCATCTCAGTGCACATTTTCTGATGGCTGGTGTCTAACAATGTGCCACTACCTATAGGAGATACAGAGATGAACATGTGACAGTCCTGGCCTTTAGAAAGAGCTCAAGGCCAAATAAATCAGTGCTTTTATAGAAAGAGCTTCCAGCAGGGTGTTTAGAAACAGACTATGGAACACTGGATATTAGTTCTGTGCAATACCATCTATTTGCATAGTACCTACCTGATCTACAGTGTTGGCATAAAGCTTAACTCATTCAAAGGTAAGGAGACTTATAAGCTAGATTTTGATGGCTGAGAAGAATTCTTAGGCCAAGGGAGAGAGGTGAGCCAAGGACCACCATGATTGTGGAGCCTTGCTCCCTGAGGAAGCTTTTATCAATAATTGCAGGCATGATAAATTAAGGTCCCACAGACCCTGCTAGTGGACTGTGATAACATATACAGACAGGCTCCACATAGGGAACTAGCAAGCCTTGGTAAGATTATGACACTTTTCGTCACCCCTTACCCCTTAACAGACAGGTTAAATGTGTTTCTTTCACTTCACTGTCTTCCTACATTTTTTTTCCTTCCTAGTTTCAAAAACAACTCTCCTTCAGCAAGTTGTTTCCAGGAAAGTCTTAACCATCTGTCCCTTCTGGCATACCCTCTTCCATTGAAATCCATGCAGAGTAGTCCAGGTACTCTATCTTTTTGTGTGTGAAGCCATTAAATCTAATATTGAGTATGTGGCAGTGCTCAAGGGCATGCTTCTTCCACAAGAGGCTCCCTCAGCCCTGCTGAGGTAAAAACTGAGTATAAATTGCCACTAACAGAGTTTTCCAACTAGAGCCATAAGTACATCTGAGCATCCCCTATACATTATGGTGCCATCAGCTCTCTTGCCGCTCCTCTGCACTGCCTGCCTTTTGGCTGTTTTGCTTATCCTTAGGCCCACCATCAGAGTGTGGGCAGGAGAACAAGAAAGGGAAATGAACCCCAAATCAGTCTGCTGTGCACTTAGCTCACAGCACTGATGATAAAATAGACAGGGATGAGGGTTGACACTGGGCAACACACAGGGCAGGCCAAGAGGATCAGTCATATCTTTCTCAGCCCATTGTCCAAAGACTGGGGCCCCCTCCCTGAGCTCCTGAAAATGAGTGGCCCTGTGTTTTCTTTCTGTAGAATTTCTCACAATATTGGATAGCTTTTTTCCTTCAAATTTACCATGGTAAGGATGATATTTGGGTGCTGATATTTAACTTTAATTCTTTGAATTCATAGCATGTTGCAGTCCCCAGATATATCTTGTGCTTGAAGCTATGGGCCAAAGTAATATATTGCGATCCTCAGTGGATTCCTTTTATCCATGTGTTCATCTGTACTCTAAAGTTTAATTGAAAATCTGCTGTCATCAGATCCAAAAATGGAAGGCAGAATGCACCTAAATTGAGGTGTCAGACACTTGGCTGCCTAACTATGCTTTCTGGATTGTGGTGTTGAGAAGCGCTGCCATTCTGTATGCTTTCTCCTAATGGCTGTTGTGTACTTGCTTCTGAGAACAGTGTAAAGACACGCATGGGCTCTAATCAATCTTCCTGAGCAGACTTGCCATTTCTCTGATCGTGTTCAGCTGGGGTCCTCTGAGAAGAGAGTGGGCCTTTCCCCTCAATGGGCAAAGAGCCAGCTTCCATTTCAAAATCTTTCAGAAAAAAAAAAAATCCAACAACCCAGAGCCTGTATTTATTGAAGATTGGTCTAAAAGTCTCTCATATTGTATGCCCCATCAGCACTCAAGTGCCTCTCTTTTAGAAGGATGTAAAGGTTTAATCACTCTGGTGGGGATTTAGACCCAGAGACTTCAGAGAAATCTTATTATTTCTAACTGCAGGCAAAGAGTATTAGGGCTCCACTCTGGATCAGGGGCATGACATGTTCTATAAGTAATTTATCTTTAACGGGAAGGGCCTTCCTTACCAGACTGTCTTAGAAACAGTACTGTGACTGGGCACTAGTTCATTATTCCTCCTTTTCTCTTCCCCTCCTCAGTCTTCTGCTTATTCTTTCTGTCCCTACCCGATCCTATCCAATCTGTCCACCTCACAAATCCTCCCTTTAATATGGGAAGCCAGGTGCTTGCCAATTAGAGTAATGTTTTTGCAATCAGTGACCTCATTCCAGCAGCCTGATGTAGAGCTGTCAGCTGCAAACTTCTGAACGGACCCTACCTGCAGCCTCTCAAATAACTAGCTGAGATGAGGAGAGTTTGCTCTAGGCTCCACATGCACTCAAGTCTGTGCTCTTGGACATGAAGTAATTTAGGGCCATCCTCAAACACATCCCCTGCCCTATTGTACCTTCATAGAGGCAATATTCACAGAAGGCCTTTTGAATCCCTACACAGAGCCACAGGGATGATATTGAGCATATGGTTTCATTTGCATGGACCCTTCCCAGTCCCTGGGTCCTGCCTTCCTGGTGCTGAGGCTGGAGAATGTCACAGGTGGAATTCTGCTTATGGATTCATTGTTTTGCTTGGGGACTATAGTATGGTGGCAGATCAAAATCCATGTTCTAATGAGTTTGGTTAAAGCAGTCTTCTGCTCTTCTCTTTTAATCTGGCCTATCTGAGTTCCTTTCCACAGTTAATGATTCCTGTAATGGTTTTGCCTCCTGGGTCAAAATAAATCAATAATCCTCACAGATATTTAAAAACCATCAGTATAAAGCTCCTGAGTAACCCTTGCCCCTTGTCTTCCTTCTGGGTGAACTTACAGCTTGATCAGTACAGTGATATGTCCCTTACATCTCCTCTTTTCTCCCAGAGATGGGCAGCAGTGAACCCCTTCCCATCGAAGAAAGTGACAAGAGGAAAAAGAAGAAACGGAAGGCCCGGGCCACTGACTCCTTACCAGGAAAGTTTGAAGGTTGGTCACTCAACTCTCTTAGATCTGGACCTGTGGCTCCCCAAGCGTGGGAAGAGCATCCTGGTAGCCCATGGGTCTAGATCCTGGGCTGCATCATCTTAGAGCCAGCTCCTGGCTACCTGTGTGTAGGGATCAAAGATATGGGTGAGAGCTTACACAAAGGAGTAACAGAGAAAGAGAAGGCAGGGATGGGGAAAGACTCTGGATGATGCACAGGCCTCCTCTCAATGGTCTGAGTACTTCATAGGGACAAAAAGACCGATCTGTTGGAACTGTACATGGAATGAGATTGCCTGGTGTGTTTCAGCCCCTTTTCAAATTTGATCTTTCCCTCACCTGTTCCTGGAGGAGCCACTGAGAGGCAGAACAATCATGTATGAGGGAGAAAGAACACCAAGGGCCATGACTGCAAAGAAACTTAAATCAGCAGAGATTTTGGCCCCTAGAGATTGCAGCTACTTGTGCTGTCTGAGTTGGACTCCATTTAAGAGTGCATGTTGTGTTCAGAGGACATGATGTTGGGTCATCAGGCATTTTGAACACGGGGTGAGGCATCAGGCTCGGTCCAGGTCCTGTCGTCGCCAGGCATGTGTTGGGATGAAGTCGGTCCCTGGACACTTTGGCAAAGGACTGGAAGGATCAGTAATTACTCCTAGGAGCGACATGCCCCCTTAATCTATTTCCTTTCTTTCATTGTGAGACCTGAAATTAGCTTCCCCTATGGTCCCTCTTTCCAACATGCAGATACACTAGTTAATTGATTGTTCTGATTGTTCTGTAGAGTGGTTCTTATAACAACCCCTTTATGAATCAGGAATATTGGACCTCTATCCACCAGCCAATCCTGACACATGTAAGAGGCTAATACCAAAGTATGCATATGATAGGAGCATACTTACAAGCAACTGTATGTATTCTTATAAGTAGCCCCAAGACCAAACTGATGGAACCAAGAGAATAGTGTAGGGTTTTGTCTGTGCATTTGTCTTTAACTCAAACAGTAAATGTGTGTGCGTGGGGGTGGAGGAAGGTGGGGAAGGGATAGACAAAAGTCCCAAGGTTTTTAGAATAGTTTCCAAATCAACAGGTCTTTCTCTTTCAATGAAAATGAGAGTATTTCCTGTTATTCAAAGATGGCTTGTGCAATTATAAGGCTTCTCATGCTAAGAGTGATAAAATCTCATTTCATGGTTAAAATATATTCTGGTCAGTCTGTGGGTTTAAATGCTTCGTTGTCTCAAGAGGAGCACGTGAAGAACAGATGCCAAGGGAGGAGGAGGTCAGCTTGGCAGAGCCACGATAGAGCTGTGGCTTCCTTTGGAAGGGGCTCCAGTTGTGCTGTTTTGTGAGCTTGTGCTATTTGTGAGCTTGGGTAGGTCACCTAAATGTTCTTTCAACCCAGGCCTGTTACTGTTAGAACAGCTCTGACTCAGCACTCTAAAAACTTCGAGGCATCTGTTTGCATTCTACTTCTGCTTCCTGTGGGTGACTTCTGGAAACTTCTCAAAAACCTCCAATAACTTCCATTGTGTGCAGTACAAACTTAAACAGTGCTTTACTGCCCTTTGTATCACCAATGCCCAGCACAGAGCTGAATACCCAGTATGTGCTAAAAAAATGAGTAAGTTAATGATGTTCATTCAAGTCACACCCCTTCCTTAAGGACCCCCCAGATTCCCTGAACAGATCTAACCTTTCCCTTTCACTGCCCTTTTTTACTGTGTCTTGTCCCTCTGTGACAGTACCTACCACTGCCTTGTTTATTCTGGGGTCACTTGCATATATATCTCTTTTCTCCACTGGACTGTGACCCTCAAAGGGCACGGATTATATTTCATTCCTCACTCAGTCTCTATTCTGAGTCTAACATGCTCTCTGGGACAGTAGTTGGTACTCAAGAAGTGTGTGCCAAATTGAAACCCATACACTGACCTCATCTCTAAAATGAAGAACTGGATGCTTTCGATGTGGTCTGGTTGTTGAGAAACTGAATCCTGAGATGGCTGGCATTGCTAATGGTCCTCCTCATCACTGAGTGCTACAGAGGCATCATGTGCCTGTGTTGTCAGACTAGGGAAGCTGAGTGACAGAAGCTCTTCTTGCCATCTTAGCTTGTGAAATGGCAACTCACCTTGTTATTCCTCTCATCCATTTCACTCCTAGATATGTACAAGCTGACCTCTGAATTGCTTGGAGAGGGAGCCTATGCCAAAGTTCAAGGTGCTGTGAGCCTGCAGAATGGCAAAGAGTATGCTTAAATCTCATTTCATGGTTAAAATATATTCTGGTCAGTCTGTGGGTTTAAATGCTTCGTTGTCTCAAGAGGAGCACGTGAAGAACAGATGCCAAGGGAGGAGGAGGTCAGCTTGGCAGAGCCACGATAGAGCTGTGGCTTCCTTTGGAAGGGGCTCCAGTTGTGCTATTTTGTGAGCTTGTGCTATTTGTGAGCTTGGGTAGGTCACCTAAATGTTCTTTCAACCCAGGCCTGTTACTGTTAGAACAGCTCTGACTCAGCACTCTAAAAACTTCGAGGCATCTGTTTGCATTCTACTTCTGCTTCCTGTGGGTGACTTCTGGAAACTTCTCAAAAACCTCCAATAACTTCCATTGTGTGCAGTACAAACTTAAACAGTGCTTTACTGCCCTTTGTATCACCAATGCCCAGCACAGAGCTGAATACCCAGTATGTGCTAAAAAAATGAGTAAGTTAATGATGTTCATTCAAGTCACACCCCTTCCTTAAGGACCCCCCAGATTCCCTGAACAGATCTAACCTTTCCCTTTCACTGCCCTTTTTTACTGTGTCTTGTCCCTCTGTGACAGTACCTACCACTGCCTTGTTTATTCTGGGGTCACTTGCATATATATCTCTTTTCTCCACTGGACTGTGACCCTCAAAGGGCACGGATTATATTTCATTCCTCACTCAGTCTCTATTCTGAGTCTAACATGCTCTCTGGGACAGTAGTTGGTACTCAAGAAGTGTGTGCCAAATTGAAACCCATACACTGACCTCATCTCTAAAATGAAGAACTGGATGCTTTCGATGTGGTCTGGTTGTTGAGAAACTGAATCCTGAGATGGCTGGCATTGCTAATGGTCCTCCTCATCACTGAGTGCTACAGAGGCATCATGTGCCTGTGTTGTCAGACTAGGGAAGCTGAGTGACAGAAGCTCTTCTTGCCATCTTAGCTTGTGAAATGGCAACTCACCTTGTTATTCCTCTCATCCATTTCACTCCTAGATATGTACAAGCTGACCTCTGAATTGCTTGGAGAGGGAGCCTATGCCAAAGTTCAAGGTGCTGTGAGCCTGCAGAATGGCAAAGAGTATGCTGTCAAAGTGAGTGTCTCGTCTGGATACCAGGCTTTACTTTGCAACTTGTCCTAGCTTGTCCTAGACCAAATAAATTTTATATTCTGCAATGTGATGGCTCAACTAGCATGGGGACTCTGAAGCTGTATGTACTGGATTCAAATCTTGGTTTCCCTACTTGCTTGCCACATAACATTGGCAAATTACTTAACCTGTCTTCCAGTTTCTTCATCTGTAAAATGGGTATAACAATAGACCCTATATAATATTGTGAGGAGTAAATAAGTTAATATGTATAAAGTGGCTTGAACAATGCCTGGCTCATAGTAAGCTGCTTCTCATTCTGACAAATGAAGTCCGCTTTAGTAAGCAGACAACCAGATGTGGAATTAGAAGGCCTACCTGAATCTCTGCGGTGACATACTACTACTGACTTTGGGAAAGTCACTACACCTCCTTAATCCTCAGTTCCCACATCTCTGAAATGAAGATGATAAAACCCACCTCTCTGTCTCATGGCATGAGATGAAGATGAAAATAAAAATGAACTGATAGGAGTAGAAACACTTCACAGATTACAAAATATATCGTGATAATGAGGACTGAGCACTCAGCTTTGGGACAGGAGAGGTGGCTACTTGCTGCATGATCTTGGAATAACTCCTTCACCCCTCTTGCTTCCATTGGCCAACTCCACATGGAAGAGGGATGGCTGTAGAGCAGTGATTCTCAAAGTGTGGTCCCTGCACCAGCAATGTCAGCATTGCTGGGAACTTGCTACAAATACAAATTATCTGGTCTTATCCCAGACGTGCTGCGTCAGAAACTCAGAGTAGGGCCCAGCATGATTTTAATAAGCTCTCAAGGTTGTTCTGATGCTAAACTTTGAAAACCTCTGATATAGGGCAGTTTTAAACATTAGTGTATATCAGAATTACTTGAAGAGCTGACAAACTGTACAGAGATCCAGTTTTCTTGATAGAGATAGGACCTGGGTCTTTGTATTTTTATGATGTTCTCCAGATGATTCTGATACCCACCAAAGTTTGAGAACCAGTGATCTAGAAACAAGGTCTTGTTAAATCCAAGGGGCCAGTTCAAGCTTATTTAAAATCATCCACCTGAGCCACCAGGTCTGTTACTTCATACAGGAAAACTGAGCCAAATTGGCTCCTGAAAGAAGTGTTTCTTCTTTTAATCAACTGGCCATAGTTTCAGCTGTGGATTTAAAAACGCGAACACATCTGCTAAGCTACATTCCGTTTTGCTGGAGTGCTGATTCCTATGGTAGCAAAAGCACTACCTTGATACCTTTTGGAAACATCAGTATACATTACAAGTAATTTTTAAAAATATGCTTAGGTGTGGGAAAAATTCACAAATATAAATTGATTTTCAAAGGTTCAAATACATTTCTAGATGAAAGACCTATTTCTTCAAGGTTGGATTGCAAGAGGAAAACCTAGCCCTTCCTCCATGCCCCCCTAGCATCTTTGGGCAAACACTGGACCCTGGCTTGGCAATTCTTTGGTTTCAGCAGTTCTGCCATGTCTTATATCTCCCCTGTGCTTTGAAAGCTCTGTAGAGATGGGCTACTTCTCCCAGCATGGCTCCACAATACTTGGTTTTTATTAGGACTTTCCCTACAGATGTCCACCTGATGAATCCTAGAGTCTCAGGGTTAGAATGGAATTTCAAGATAATCTGATCCTGAATTTCCTCTAACTCCTCCAGTGGTTGTCTGCATCCTGCTTCTCCATCTCTGGTAGCAGGAGCCCATTACCTCCTTGGAGAAAATTATGCCATTGCTGGATAGTTTGTCTGATACAAAGTTCTTCCAGACTAAGATCTGGAATGCTTGGTGAATGAATGAGTTAAATAGCTTCTGTGTCCCAGCACTGCATCTCTTTGCTCAGAAAATGGGTCCACTTTGGTTTCCTAACAGATGTGGACTTAGAAAATTATATTTGGTCATGGATGTTTGATCAAGCTGCAAAATATTAGAGAAATTTGAAATATTCTACACAGGAGTCTTGGGATGAAGGAATAGGATGTCATCTGTGCCTACTCTGCAAGTGGGACTGTAAAGCACAGCCAGCGTTGCAGAAGACTTGCCCACAGGCTCTACTTCCAGTGGTTTGGGGCTCTGGATAAGTCCCTAGAGATGTTCAGAGTCAGCCAGTGCCTACATAAACTACCTGCTCATCTATTGGTTCACCCATTCCTTCAGTCAGTACTTGCCAAGCATCTCTAGGCATAGGCAGGAGATACACACCTCTAATTCTCTGAGAGAAGCTGTGTAGAATATAGGCAGGTATAGATAGGATAGCAAGGGCTTTGGAGGCAGCTCTAGGCTTGAATTCCAGCCCTGTCATTTATCAGACCTGTGAGCAAAATATCTTACCTCTTCCTATCTTTTGGGATTATGTAATAGATTATGTGCCTAAATTACATACCTATGTATTAGCTGAGATTATGTACCTAAATTATGTAATACAGTACCTGCCAGAAACTAAGTTCTCCAAACTGCGGAGGTGGCATCTGAGCTGGGCCTTGGAGCTTTAGTTCCTTTCCACTTTGTCCTTCATCCCCCTTGCTCTCCTTCTAACACCAGAAGGTCCTTCTGTAAAGTTGTAAACTCTTACCCTTGAAGCAGAAAGGTGCCTTCAGGACAGGAGCTGGGTGGAGGTAGTGCTTTGTCTCACTGGCTGGGTCTCCCTTGCGCAGCTGGGGGCAACAACCTCATAGGCTTCTGTGGTGTTGTATTTGGGAATCACACAGGCCAAGCCAGGCTGGAATGCCCTGGGGCCAGTTTATTGCTTTGCTGATAGAACCACGGTGCCAGTGTCACCAAGGCCTTCTCCACAAACTTGTGTTTAAAACTGGATTGGGCTGAATTTGGTCTTGTATTCTCCCAGAGAGCTCCTGCTGAGGGCTGTTTTGAGGTCAGGTGGGTGTATATGACAGATTTTATTCTTCCCACAGATCATTGAAAAACAAGCAGGGCACAGTCGGAGTAGGGTATTTCGAGAAGTGGAGACGCTGTATCAGTGTCAAGGAAACAAGTGAGTATAGGGGTACGTTATTGGCTTCTTCTCTGTGGGGATGCTTAGCCACAGAAATGGAGGTTTTTTCTTATCATCTCCTGACCCCAGCATTTAGCTCTCACTCCTTCTCGACAACTGCATCTCCTTGTTTTTCAATGTTTAAAAAGAAAGAGGAGAAGCAGAAGCAGCAACAAAGAAGCTATCTTCTGTTTAGACTGAAATGCTGTAAATATCAGCAATTCAGGCATGTTAGAAGAGTGAGCGGTCTGAATTAATGCCTGCAAACAAATGAGGTTTTCCTTCTTTCAAGGGCCTGTGGAGATTATATTGACTGGGAGTTGCCTAGCAGAAATCTTTTGGGACCTGCTTTAATTAAGTAAATGAGGATGATGAGACTATTAAAAATATTTGCTGCTGTTTTCTGCTCCTGCCATATTCACATCTGTGCAGCTACTAGTAAGGGTCCTAAAAGCTAGTCTAACACTCTGCTTGATAACTGGGCCAAGGTAGTCTCTAACCCTTCTTAGTCGGCTCACCACTAGTTCCCAGTGAGTGGTTCTCCCACTGTGGCTTTAAATCAGGGTCACCTCTAAGGCTCTGCTTTCCCCTCTCTCCTTTCCCAGCAAGGTCAGTGGGGAGCCAGTGGCCCAGTATTGATGGCTTTGTCATTAAGCTTGGAGGATGGGGGCTGCTGTTGATTTAACTCCAGGCACTGCCTCTACAATCTTCTTTCAAATTAGGCCATTTTGGCCATCTTATTTGGACGCCTTCACACTAGTAAAAGCTTGGTGTCTCCCAAAGTGGTCAGCATTTTTTTATGAGGGATGGATTTTTATTTTCAGCCCTGCAGCTTCTGAGTTGAGCATTAGAGACTCTACTTGGTTTATTTCTTTCTTCAAAAGAAAAAAGCCCCCAACACCCCCGATACCCAGGCTGGTGACTTCCCTACTGAGCTACAAGACGACCTTGTTGGCAGGGCACGTAATGCTCAGGCAGACAGAGAGTGCTCACCGGGGAAGGCCACAAGTGCTCCGGTGGCCAGGAACGCGGCTGTTTCATTAAGCAGCGCTTAGCAGTTAGGGTCTAGCGGTGCCCACGTTAGGCCCCAAGTCTATTTGACAGATGTTTCCATTTTCTCCAGGCAATGTAAATACTGCCCCGTGATTTATGGGCAAGAGGGAGGGCAAGTAATTATTTGCTGCTTGCCTCCAGGACACACACCTACTATTCAGTGTTATTAGCCGCAATTGCTTCCAGTCGGCTGCAGATTTTATTCAGTTTAATGTGACCGGGACTTTTTTATAACTCTACCTAGTGGGTTTTAGGGTTGGGGTTTGACAGCACAGACTTGGTGAAAACACCAGAGACTGAACATTATGGAAAGATAAGGTGACCTGAATCTTGCTAACACCATTGGCTACTTCTCAAACATGGGTCTTTAATAAGAATTCTCATTTCAAGTTGATTTCTACCCTGCTATAGGACATTGTGTATTTTTTTTCATTGTATTTTGTAAGTGGCCTTTAATATATAATACCTCCCTTTTTTTTCCCTTTCCTCCTATTTTTCCCTATTTAAGGAACATTTTGGAGCTGATTGAGTTCTTTGAAGATGACACAAGGTTTTACTTGGTCTTTGAGAAATTACAAGGAGGTACTTACTGTTGAGTATGTGTTTGGATTTCTGATTAAGACCCAGGGTGTTGATCATCCATCATGAATCCCAGAGACTTCTAAAATGAGCCAAGCTAATAAAAAGGATGAAGGACTTAAAACTGCCCTTGATTTGGGAGAAGGAAGGCCAGAGGGAAAGATGGTAATTAGCATTTTGCAGAGTTTAGAATGTCACCTGTGTGGGCATTCTATGAATGCCTTCTCATTATGATAGGTCTCATATATAGATACATTTAATCATCAATTTATCAATACATTGTTTTGACATGTTCACTATTTAACTAAATTCATTATGGAGTGGAAGCTCTTGCATACATTGTGAAGTCTGGAATGGCTCACCAGAGAGGCAGGTCCCATTATTTAGGACACAGGCCCAGAATAGAGAAGAGGCCTGAGAAAGTGCCATCCTTCTGATGGAAAGATGCCATTCTTGACCATCACCACTACTACCATCACTCACACGCATAATCACAGGAGGTATACTGAAGTTGCTTCTCTGACATAGAGAAGGGGATGGAGAAGCCCTTGCCCTCCCTGTCACTTGCCCAACCCTAGGACACATTTGCAAGGTGAAGGTTAGGGAAGATTTCTGGAGGTTAGGGAGGGCTACATGGAAGGGCTTTGATGGTTAAGGGGTCATGCATTCAAAATCAACAAAGTTAAGTTTAAGTCCAGCTCCATCACTTACTAGCTGTGTGAACTTGGACAAGTCACATAGCCGTTTGTATCTCATCTGTAAAATAGGGATTAATGATATCACCTACCTCCTTGGCTTACTGTGAAGATTAAATGTGATAATTCATGTGAAATGCTTAGCACAGTGAATGATCTATAGGCACTAAGGGTTCAATAAATGTCAGCTATTAATCTTATTTAAACAATTGGGTATGCTGAGGGCTATCTTAGAAGTTTGCAGAATGTTATTCTCCACCTTCCCTTTTAAGAAATTTGGAAACAAGAGACTCACTACAGTAGAGGAAGCCTGAGAGCTAGCCAGGAGCCAATTTTCTGGGAATATTCCCTAGCACATTGGGATCCTTTGATTGTTTAATCTGGCGAGTGAAAGATCTTTCATCTCCCCATACCAAAAACCAGCAATAAGAAGTACACATGTCATTTTTAGGACACAAAGATGATACCTTCAGTCCAGAAATAAAGGCTTCCAGTAGTGAGTGTGTGTGTCACATGGAGCCAAGCCATATGTTCATACCTGTGCCTGCCCTCACCCCACCCAACAACAGTAGGACTGTGAATTACATGTTTGAAATGCTAGATGCAGCTGGGGCCATCCATAACCATAGTGCTTGGAATGCATCTCTACTGAGACCAGACCCCATGGATAACGAGAGCGTAGTTAATGACTTAGGGCAACCATTCCCCCAGCATTCAGACCACAAGTCCTACTGAGGGGAAGTCTGCATAAATTCTGAGGCCAAACTTACTGACTGAGCTTATGTCCTGATGCCAGCACTCCCTGGTATGGGATCTTGAGCAAATTGCTTAACCATTCTTGGCTTTGGGTTCCCCAACTGTAACCTGGAGATAACTGTGGTTTGTATATTTTATACAGTTGTGATGAGGCTAAGATAATTTATTTAAAGAGTATTACATAGTGCTTGGCCACAAGTAACTACTAACCATTGCCAAGAAAATAATAACAATAACAATAATAATAATAAACAGGAAAGGTTAGGGGAAAAATAAGTATTTCTCTTTTTTTAGATCATTACGTATCCCATAAGGGTATGGCATTGCCATTGGAAGGCTTGTGCTCTTGTTTGGACCTGAAATCAGATGGAGAGGAAGAAAAGTTCTACAGAGAGGCCCATGACCCTGTGTGGATTCACTTCTAGTTCTTTTTGATTTCAGAAGCCAAATCTGTCCCAATGGCATTAATATTTTTGGTCATTTAAATAGTTCTCCCTTCTGTGCTCATCTTAGGTGCAAAAGATAGAAGTCCTGTTCAGTCCTCTTTGGGGCTGGTTCCTCCTCTGTGCCAAGTACCACACGTAGTGCTGGACGTTTAGTGATGCATGAACCTGTGTCCCTACCCCAGACCTGTGAACACTTGGCCTGGGGAAGTTACGCTCAGTAAAGTCTGAAGAGGCTTGTCTGTATGTCCCCTCTGCCTTCCAGGCTCCATCTTGGCCCATATCCAGAAGCGGAAGCACTTTAATGAGCGAGAAGCCAGCCGAGTGGTGCAGGATGTTGCCGCTGCTCTTGACTTCCTGCACACCAAAGGTGATCCGAGCCTTTGCCTTAGTGGGTGGGTGGGGCTGGCCAGCCTCTGGGGACAGCAGCAGGTCAGGCAGAGAGCTGGGTCACGAGCCGGGGCAGCTGGCAGGCCCACCTGGGGTGACGGGGCAAGCCAGGATGGCTCCTAGGCTTCTCATGTGGGCAGTGTGTAGATGTGGAGCTGTTAAAAAGGATAGGGATATAGGGAAAGAGCAGGGAGGAAAAAGAATGTATTTCCTGTTGAACATGGTACATGTGAGTGTGGATGTGGATGATTCCTTTTCCTTTCCTCATGAATGCAAAACTCGTGCATAATGTGAGCATTCTGGTATAAATATTTAGGTGCTATTCCTTCTAGTCTTTTAAAATACATCATCTGTATCTCTCTTCAAAATTGGCTCATAGTATATATATAGTTTTATATCCAGTTCACAAAAATGGAAAATGCATTTTTCTATTAACATGGTACGTTTGAGGTATCTGTTGAAATAATGGTAAACAGCAGGTTACTATTGCTTGAATTATACTTTGGTTTACAGTCCCTTATCTAGGACTGATTATTGAAGAACTTTTGTAGTATAGTAAATCTTTTTGCAAATTAACTGTTTTTACATTTCCATTTGTTTGACGATTACATACATTTTTTAAATTTACCTACCATCAATGCCATGAAAAAAATGAATTCTGGCTTTACCTTTTTCCAGCTATGTGCTCTCTTAGTAATAATACCACAGAGTTATGGCAAGAATTAAGATAGTTACATCATCAACAGTAGTTAACACTTACCGGCACTTGTGTGCTAGGCACTATTCTAAGCCTTTTATATATACTTACTCATATAATTGTATGTATCTTATATATATGTTACTTTTATATTTGTAGGAATATATATAAATAGGAATATTTATAAAATATATAAATTTTATATAAATATAAAATATATATAATAGTTGGAGCATAGTACCTGGCGCATAGTAGTTCTTCAATAGTGTTACTTCCTCCCCTCTTACCCCCACTGGCAGAAAGCATTTTTATTCTTAATATTAATTCCCTTAAACTAAAGCATTCTGCCTGGTGAAGGGTGGGGTGGGGTGGAGGGAGTAATTTGTGACTTAGCTCTGCTGCCTTTAGTATTATGGATATTGGCTGGCCACACTGGCTGTGGGTGCACAAGACCACCTGTAGGCATATTCCACCATGTGTCAGCAATGCAGTGCAGACCAGTGTGGCAGCTCCATGGAAGGCTCAGGTTCATTGATTCTACTCGTCTCCTCCAATGGCCAAAGAGAGATCCCCACACTGACAGTGTCCATGTTGGTGTCTGACTTGCACATATGATGAAAATCCCTAGAAGGGGGTATCTGTACTTTCCACAGCATGATGAATAGCAGTACTTCTGCTTCTGAAAGCTGGGCTGCATGGAGGTAACACCTGCCTGACAAAAGATTTACAACTTCTCCTCAAGCTGCCTCTGTAGATTGCAAAACTGGGTCATGCTTTCTACACGATTCATACCTTACAGGGGGGTAAATGTGGTTTTATTTTTTACTTATTTATTTATTTATTTATTTATTTTTACAAGAATGCTCTAAAGGGAACAGAGTCTGGTGATATCTTAGGACTTCTGAAGTGCTTGTTAACATCTAGCTGGCCAGCTGCCCATGTGACTAGAAGTTGGAGGGGAAGAAAAACGATTTCCAGCTGAACTTGGCTGTTTTCTAAATAACTTCACACTAGGAAGATGAATTGGGCAAGAATGGGTCAGTCTTGAAAGAAGTTCCATACTTTTAAATACTGGACACACTGCAACTTAACCTCTGGGAAATGAACAGAAGCAGCTCAACGGCTGGTATGCTCACAGAGGCAGGCCCATTATTACAGCATGGCTCTCAGTTCTCAGGCTGGGGGACAATCGGGCCATCAGCACCTATTTGGAGAGCAAGGTGCTATGTGTGGCTCATGATCCTTCTGTGGGAACACTTGCTGTAATGGAAAATATCTTTCACTTTTAGTGTGGAGAGCTGTAGCCTGGCTCAATTTGTGCAGCTGGACTGAGTTGCTTTGGGTTCTCATTCAGTTAGGTGACTGATGAAGTTACTTAGCCTGCTGGAGCTCAGGTTTTCCCTCTAATGAAGTGCCTCAGGTGGGCTGGCCCCTGCCTCTTACTGGGGAATCAAATGGCAGCCTGAGAAGATGATCATTTAAGGGGGTTTTAGAAAAGCAAATTCTGCTTTTCCCCATTACCCTAGAATCCTCTGCTGCTCTCTAGTACTGAGCAGTAGCTGTTCGGTTCACTTGACTTTCCAGCCCTCTGTCTCTGTGCCATACATTCTACAGGAGGAAAGAGGAGTGGGTAGTTTCTGTGTGTCTGGTGAGAAGGTGGTTTTCCCTAGTTGCCTTCTTGGCCAGGCCAGCAGGTTTTAAACCCTTGTGGGGTAAGCTGCTATCTGTGGTCTCCTTCAGGAGGTCTGGCCAAAATGCAGGGGAGGTATCTTTAGAACAGCATCCTCAGGCCAAAGCAGTCCTTGGGGTCCTTCTGGCAGGGCTGCCTTGGGCATGAAGAGCAAGTGAGAAGGGAATCAGACAAGCTTCAGGAGATTTGTTAACTAACACTTGATCCTCTGAACACTCAGAGTCCCACTGAAGGAATCATTTTTTTTTTTAATCAACCACACAAGAAGAAATGAGGTTAGAGCAGTCCCAGCCCCCTGAGATGCTCTTAAACAAGGCACTAATTATTCCTGCATTGCTGTTGCAAGCATGGCCATTTGCAGAGCTCTTTGCTTCATATTAGGCTTCTTATTCTTGGTTGGCACTGCAGTGCTGAGAGGTAGGCTGGCTGGGATTCATTTAGCCCTTATCCCTGCCAGACTGGTAAAGCTTTGCTTCAAAAAAACTTGCAGAATCCACTGTGTTTTTGGTTTGTGTCTCTGGCTACTTCTGTCTCCTGCAGCTCGTTGATTTTTTAATGTACCATAATTGGAAATTAATCTGTGAACAACAGCATTTGGGAAAAATTAATTGTGTGTGGAATGTTTGATAATTACGTGCATATGTTAACCATTTCTTGGCTCTTTGTCATATCAGGCATTGCTCACCGCGATCTGAAGCCAGAAAATATATTGTGTGAATCTCCAGAAAAGGTACTTAGGCCCTGACTTGGAATGTTTATAGTTTACCCTGATGTGGGGAAGCCACTCCTTGCTTTCAGTAGAAGTTGTTAACAGTTCTGTCAGCCTCAGGTACCAACTTGAATGGATTACTATGGACACATGAAAATGTTACACCTAATGCATAATGTTTCTACATTCCAAGTAGGGTTAATCCTTGTCCCCTCATTGCTCTTTAACAGCAGTGTACATAGTTGGCTTAAGACAGAGACATATATTTGTAAAATATATGAGACCTGTGCAAAATGAATGTTTTCTAGTCCAATACACTACCTACCTTTAAAGTAATTGATGTGAGTCATTAACAGCAGCTCTCAGTTCAATCTTATGTGAAGCAAATCTCTGCCTATAAATGATGTTTATGTTAATAGTATATATGCCAGCTGGTGTCCACCACTAGAAGTAATAATCAGGAAGGAAGTTCTTGAAAAGGGTTTTTGTTTCCATTTTTATTTCCAAAGGTGCCCATTAAAAAGAAAGCATTTATACTTGGTAATGAACAAATGCAACCTATTTAAAACATTACCTTAACTCAACCTATCACTCAGTGGAAGTGTTTGCATTTCCATAAGCATATATGAACCTGACAAATTCTGTGTTTGTTAGGCCCAGGTGGTTTTGAGGGCCCACAGTCATAGCTCTGTGTGTATGAATGGGTATGTATGCATGAACACAACTGTCTTGGTTTGAATTAAGGGACAGCTCAAAAATAGGCTATGTGTGAATATGTGAGTCAGCCTGCTGCTTACAACTTTTTGAGGGGAATAGTAATGTTTTAGCTCAGATATGATCTTGTGATTCTCTGTCAATGGCTTGGCATGAAACTTCATAATATTATTATCATTATGGTTATTAACAATAATTATAGTTGACATTTTTTAGAGCTTACATTGTGCCAAGAACTTATTTAGTATCTATAAAATGTTATGAAGTAGATATTATTATCATCTTCATTTTATAGATGAGGAAACTTAGACTAAGGAACTTGCCCAAAGTCCTATTATTATCTTCATTTTATGGATGAGGAAACTTAGACTAAAGAACTTGTGCAAGGTCACTCAGCTGGTAAGAGTATAGGTTAAAACTAAGGTGGTCTGACCTCAGAACTCCATGGGTGCTGAGTTGCTCTGTTGAATACCTCTGATCTAAAGTATTCCTTTGTTTCATTTCATCTTCATGGCACAGGTTTGTTGCCCCATTTTTCATAGCTGAAAAACTAAAGTTAATTTTTGACCAAGTATCAAAAGACATTATCAACAAAGTGAAAATACAACCCACAGAATAAGAGAAAATATTCACAATCATATATCTGATAAGGGTTTAATATTCAAAAAAAATAAGGAACTTCTAAAACTCAAAGAAGACAATCCAATTTAAAAAATGGGCAAAGGACTTGAATAGACACTTCTCCAAACAAAGTATACAAATAGCTAATGAGCATATGAAAAGATGCTCAACATCCTTAGTCACCAGAGAAAGGCAAATCAAAACCACAATGAAATACCACCTCATACCTACCAGGATGGTTATAATTTTTTATTTTTAAAGGAAAGTAAGTATTGAGAATGTGGAGAAGTTAGAACCCATGTACATTGCTAATCAGACTGTAAAATGGTGCAGCCACTGTGAAAAATTGTTTGGCAGTTCCTTAAAAAGCTAAAACATAGAATAACCATACCATTCAGCAATTTCACACCTATGTATATACCCAGCAGAAATGAAAACAGACTTGAACACCAGTGTTCATTGCAGCATTATGCACAATAGCCAAAAGCTGGGATCAACCCAAGTGTACATCAACGAGTGAACAGATAAACAAAAAGTGGTCAGTCCATGCAATGGAATATTGTTCAGCCATAAAACAGAATGAAGCTCTGATATATGCTGCAACACAGATAAACCTTGAAAACATTATGCTAAGTGAAATAAGCCAAACCCAAAAGGACACATACTATGTGGTTCCACTTACATGAAATATCTGGAATAGGCAAATTCATAGAGACAACAAGTAGATTAGATGTCACTGCGGCTGGGGAAGGGGGATAATAGGGAGCTATTGCTTGCTGGTACCGGGTTTCTGTTTGGGATGATGGTAAGTTTTGAAAACCGATACTGGCAGTGGTTGCACAACAGTGTGAATGCATTTAATGCCAGTAAATGGTACACTTAAAATGGTTAAAATGGTGTATTTTGTGTTATATATATTTTATGACAATAAAGAGAGGGTAAGTGAAAAATAAAAGTAAGAATCTAAGAAAAGGAAGGAATGGGAGGAGGAAGGAAAGAAGGAAAGAGAAGTCGAAAGACTTGTCCAGGGTTCCCTGGAAGGTCAGTGGCTGAGCTGGGACTCACAGGACCAGCATTTCTTCTTGCTCACTGTGCAGCTTGCATCATGCAGACCGTTCTCTGCGTGCATACAAACTGCGCTCCTGGATGGCTCCGAACACATGCTGTCTGTGGGCTCAGATGCGGCATCCAGTTCTGGTGCGCTTGGCTGCTGTGTCGATGCCACCTAGAGTGACCAACCATCCCAGCTTGCTTGGGCCTGAGGGGTTTCCCAGAAAGCAGGACTTTTGGTGCTAACTGATGGGGTCCCAAGCAAGCAGACAAGTTGGTCACCCTGAGCCACCTGAAGTGGTCAAGGTTTTAGTCAAAATTCTTTGTCCTCCACTGAATGGGCTTCAAGGAGTCTTTCAGGAGTGCTGATAACTTCTCTAATGTCTGTGTGTTCTATACCATTGTTTGTGGCGAGAGTTCCAAAGGTTTGCTCTTGTTTTGTACTAAGTTCACAACAAGTATGACACCATGTAGTACACACATTTTCTCTTAGCTGGGAAATAAGGAAAGGGCATGGTGCAGACGATACCTTAGGATAAATCCTCAGGTCATTTCTAGTTAACCAAGGAGAATAAACATGACCTGAAAGATAAAACTGGGTTTCAGCATGGCAGCCACATAATTATGAGCCTGTATGTTAAATTAGTCTCCTCATACCTGTTAGTTTTTCCTATTCGTAGCCTTTTGCTTTCTGGTTTCCTTTTCAGGTGTCTCCAGTGAAAATCTGTGACTTTGACTTGGGCAGCGGGGTGAAACTGAACAACTCCTGCACCCCCATAACCACACCAGAGTTGACTACTCCAGTACGTATGGCTGGGCAAGCTATGCCACCTCCTTCTGGGCTCCTTTACGTTTGGCATGCCTCCTGGCCCAAGCTTTGGGGTCTGGAGCCCCGGGGAGGGAAGGAAAACCAAATGTATCTCCCCAGCTTCTGGCTGCCTGAGTTGTCATTTGGCTCACTGCTTTGTATGGATGAGTTCTCTCACCCCAACCCAGGGCTAGTTGCTAATGAAACTGACATTAGGGCTTTTAGTTTGCGTTGGGTCCTCTGCCAGTGCTAATATAAATTGTATGTATAAGAACAGGCTGAGCCCTGACTCCCAACCCAGGTAAAGTCAGGCACTACTCTGGGGCCTGCCCTTCCCATATGAGCAGGCAGACAGCTCTGAGAGTCCCCATGCCCACTGCCAGAGTGGTAGGACCCCCACCATGGGATGGAGGACGGAGAGGGTGGAGAACTGAGAGGCTGGGGACTTTGCACATAGGATTGCTTGGCTGAGTTACTCTGAGCTTCTCTCACTTCATGTTTCATGCCCCGATGGTGCTGCTGAGAGCTGTTTCTTCCTTATACGTCTCTTTTACATACTTGATATACTATAATTATGATCCTTTTGAGATTTGCATGCTTCATAAGTGAATTTTCCTAATAACCTTTTTATAAGACCTGCATTTCAGTATGCCCATATCTTATTCCAAGCAACATTATTAGAAATGTTTCTGCATTAGTGTCTACTCCACTGAGCTACTTTGTTCATGAAGTCATTAATTCTAATTGCCAATTACAAAGAAAATGTTCTTTCTCCACTTGTACCTTCCCATCAAATTAGTTGTGTGTGTTGGAGGGTGGGAGATTATCTCAGTAAGACTGAAATAATGAAGAGGGGAGCAAAAAGAATTTGTTTTATTGTTATCAGCAGTTTTCTATGCAAGGATGAGAGGAAGGAAGCCTGGAGTATTGTCCTAGGTTTGCCCTTGATGCGTCTGACCAAATCCGTGTCCCATTTTAGTCCTTGGTTGCCCCATCTATAAATGGGAGAAGCAGGGCGATTGGGTTTATTCTCAGAGCTCTCCTAACTTTGATGATCTGTTAATTCTAAATTCTCCCTTACTTTAAGCTAGCAGGGAAGCTTGGCAGGACATCACTTGAAGAAATTACTGCTGTATGGAGTTGGATCCCCACAGCTCTCCCTCTCAGGGCCATGGTCCTGGTACATTAAGTGACTGTTGATAGCTGAGGCAGGGAGAGATTCCCGGAGTTTCTTGAATAAGGGCATCTGCCTACTGGAGAAGGACCTGAGAAGATAAGAGGACAGCCTAGAACTGGTCATGTGGATTGTGAGGAAAGACTGATAAGACAGTTTACAAATGGTTGGCCTAGCTTTTCTGAGTGCCCTGGTATATCAGGCAAGCTGTCCGCTAACTTTCCTGACAACTTCTTGCTCTGCAGCACCATACTTTTGCTCAAGTCCCACATTCTGCTCTTTGCCATCTCTGCCTGTGACTAAACCTCTCTTCTCTGCCATTTTTCCTTTCCCAACCTTGGCTCCCACAGTGCGGCTCTGCAGAATACATGGCCCCAGAGGTGGTGGAGGTCTTCACAGATGAGGCCACTTTTTATGACAAGCGCTGTGACCTGTGGAGCTTGGGTGTGGTCCTCTACATCATGCTGAGTGGCTACCCGCCCTTTGTAGGTCACTGTGGGGCCGACTGTGGCTGGGACCGGGGAGAGGTCTGCAGGGTGTGCCAGGTGAGTGCAGCTCGTGCCTAGGGCCCACGGAGGGTCAATGTGGTTGTGGGATGCCAAGCAGGACTGGGCTTGGGGATCATTCCTGATTAGAAGGCGGTTATACTGCCCTTCCTTCTCTGTCCAAGGGCAGCCACAAGGTGAAATAGAGATAGGCACTTATCCCAGCTAGGAGTTCAAGGGAGGATTGTTAGAGATGATACCTGAGCTTGGTCTTAAAGAATAACCCTTGCTGCAGGGGAAGAGAGGCAAGCAATACAAGTAGGAGTAACAGCATAAGCAAAGACATGGAGGTTTGACACAACTGCATGTGTACCAGGAAAATGAGTAGAAATAGAAGTTTAATGGTGGCAGGAGGTGAGACCTGAGAGGTTGCCAGGAGCCTGTTCATGGAGGGCCATGTAAGAAGGGCCAAGGAATTTAGGCTTTGCTCTCTAGATTATGCCCTCCATGAAGCCCCCACCCAGCCCTCCAAGTAGCATAGCCATCCCTGCCCACCAAGGGCATTCTGTGTGGCTTGATGTTTTGGAGAGAGGAAAGTCTGAGAGGGGGACCTGGTCTGTGGTATACCCAGGCCATGAGCTGCAGCTGAAGTCAGCTGGATATGAGTTGACGAGATCAGTGACAGGCACATCCTGCCCAACCCCTGCAGTGGGCCTCAGCAAGAATCTTCTTTACCTAGAACAAGCTGTTTGAGAGCATCCAGGAAGGCAAGTATGAGTTTCCTGACAAAGACTGGGCGCACATTTCCAATGAAGCCAAAGACCTCATCTCCAAGCTTCTGGTTCGAGATGCAAAGCAGAGACTGAGTGCTGCCCAAGTTCTGCAACACCCATGGGTGCAGGGGGTGAGTAACCCATGGATGGGTGGCATTCTGCCTCCTCAGGCCTACAGCATGGCCCTGAGGGAGCTCTCATGCCAGCAAGTACTGAACAGCAGCCCAGGAGGCTTACTTCAGCTGGAGGGTAATTATCTGGCAGCTTTAATCCCTGTGCATGTAACCTAGCCCAACACTGAGCCCCTTACTCGTCACTGGTTCTAACCTTGGCCACAGACTAAGCTCCTAACTGACCCATGTGTCTCTGGAGAGGCAGAGGCCTTTGGGGGCTTTGGCACATGCATCCCATTATTGGCAGAGGCACATAGCTCAGAAAGCAGCCTGGCGTTCACATTTGAGGCAGGTACACATCCCCTTATACAAAAGTATCATTAGCTGAGAGCACCCAGGAACAAGGCCTTTTTGCCCTGCTTGCTTTGTAGCTGCTCTCGGGGCACATAGGTTCTCTTCATGGTCCTGGGGATCTGGGTGCATCTTGCTAATGGCAAATGGTTGTATTTTCCCCAAACTAAGGACCCAAGTCTTCATTAGAAAATATTTTTAACCATCTTCCTTGGCTAGTCATGGTACCTGATTTCTGCCCCTCCAAGGGATCTGCCAGATCTCCTGTGATTTATTGTGTCTCCTTGGTCTGCCAGGTCCTAGCCAGCCTCAGTGGCCCTGCCAGTGGAAGGAAGCAAGCATTGACAGCCCTATGTTACAAGGGGATCCATTCCAAGAATATCTGAGTGGCTAATTCCAAGCCACCCAAGTGTTACTATCTTTACTGAGCACCTACTACATGCCAGACACTGGCAATACTGGGATGAGTAAGACCCAGTCTCTGTCTTCCTAGGGACAGGGAGGTAAGGGAATAAATGACAGGACAGTGTAACAAAAGCTTATCAAAAGTGCTAGGGGCACCAAAGGTGGAGGCTCTACCTCTGCTTGGGACAAGCGGTAGGGAGATGGCAGGGGAGAGGTACTGCTTCACAGGGGAAGCTGGGTCTTGGAACATGAATAGGCCTTTGCCAGGCAAGGAGAAGGGCTGTCCATGCAGGGGCAGTGGGGTTGGTGGCTGTGCTTTGCTTGCTCTCTCCTTGGTAGGTCTGACCCTGCAGGCAAGCATGGCCAAGCCTGTGCTGGGCCCAGAGCCTCTGATAACCTACCCACTCTGTGTTGTCATGGGTGGGAGCAGCTCTTGAAGGAGGGAGCAGTGCTTACCCACTCGTCTGTCCTTCCCATTCTAGCAAGCTCCAGAAAGGGGACTCCCCACGCCGCAAGTCCTCCAGAGGTAAATGTTACCACCACACCCAGCACCCCTCTTTCTTGGGCTTTGGCTTTCCCTCAGGCTCTCAGCCATGCTGGGTTGGAGATGGGGTCAAGGAGCTCATCTCTAGGCTCAGGTATCCTCCTCTTGAACGGGCTTCCTGGATGCCTTTGCCCCACATCTCCTCCCCACTTTTCCCTCTAGAGTAGGGCTGTCTTCCACTGGGATGGCTTCCCCTGCCCTCCAGCACCTTTCAGGCCCCTCCCGGTGCAGTTTGTGTGAGAAAAGTGTGTTTTGCATATCCACTGGAATCCTAACTGGAAATCAGCATTTACAGCCCAAAGAAAACCTCATCTGTGGGTGATTCACACCAAGGTTTCCTTCTGCTGCTGGGAATTGGTGCAAGTAACAGGAATGGGGAACTGTCAGGCAGTGGGACCAATTGTCATATATGCTACTAGATAAATAATAGTAATACCACTGTGTAAACAATAACACATGACAGATATGGTGCAAAAGACTTTATGTATATCCTAACCTTTATGATAAATCTACAAGAGAGGTATTCCTATTATCCCATTTTGTGGATGAGAAAACTGAGTAATAAAGAGATCAAGTTAACTTCCTCAAGGCCACACAGTAGCCTTGGGTGTTTGACTCTAGTCCCTTTTAACATTAGATCATGTTCCCAAAGGGCCAGGACTAATGCACTGTGTGAACCCCTAGAAACTGGAACCAACTTCACATCCAGTTTCTAGGGGTTACACAGGGAAGTCTTACATCTTTATAGTCTCAGTTCATTTGAGCCAGAATGCTATGGCCCAGGTTGGGTTCTACCCAATTCTCTAGAGCTTCATCCAGATGCCCTGAGGCTCCAAAGCACAGCTCCACCTTAGATTTATTCAGAAAACCCCAAGTGCCAGTTATATGCTAGCCCTGAGCTGAGTTTTGGGAACACAGACACAAAGGTACGGTGCCTGCGCTTGGAGCTCCCTGCCCTTACGAGAAAGAGGGCTGTACAAGGGGGACTTTCACGTGGCATGGCCCTTCCCCTGGCAGAACTGTGTGCAGAGCAGTGGCAGCTCAGTGGAGGGTGCTGTGAATAGAAAGGGGCATTTGTCCCAACTCTTAAGTCCAAGGACTATAGGTTCAAAGCCATTCCCACCTCAGTAAGGTCAGATTGCAAACCCATGCAAGAACTACTTTGGAGAGAGCAGCCTGTGCAGGCTAGAAAAACTGGGGGGGAGCCTAGAACTGCAGTCACTGGATGGGTGTCAAGGAGCTGGCCTGGCTGATCTATTGAGTTGTGCCTCCCTCTTTTCTGTGCCCCACCCCTGTCCCTGCAGAAATAGCAGCACAATGGACCTGACACTCTTTGCAGCTGAGGCCATTGCCCTTAACCGCCAGCTGTCTCAGCATGAGGAGAATGAACTGGTAAAGGAGTCAGAGGCACTGGCCAAGGGCCTCTGCTCTGTGAAGCTTTCCCCTCCCTCCAAGTCACGCCTGGCACGCCGGAGAGCGCTGGCCCAGGCAGGCCGCAGTGGAGATGCAGGAACGGGCCCAACACCCACAGCACTCTGACCCCCTCCAGTCACATCTTCCAGGCCATAGGCCTGTCCAGGCATTTCTCCCCCCACTTCCCACCCCCTGAGAAACCTGTGAGGCCGAAGTCTGCAGAGCAGGCAGAGGGGTTTTATAGCTCCATCCAGGAAGGCCCTAAGGTCTCCACCCACATCCCCCCATTTCTCCAGAGTCCTCAAGGAAAAAGCTTTTTCCAAAGGGGTTGTCTTTGAGAAGGAAAGCAATCACTTGTCACTTTGCATAATCATCTGCAGCAGGGACATCTCTGCTGGGCTTTAGCCCACCTGCTCACCCTTCTGCCTATCCAGGATCCTTCCCGCTCTCACTGGCAGGCAGCAATGGCGACTGGGGCTCTAGCCTTCAGGGAGCCAGCCTTGAGAAGCATCCGATGACAGAGGCTCTTTCATCTCTCTGTACCTTCACCTGCCTCTGGCAGTCCTTCCACCTTCCTCTGTCCTCTGGATGTCCTCCCCCACCTTGGCTGAGCAAAGCAGTCCCCTCAATTCAGGGGAGGGCAAGAAGCCTTCCACATTCAGGAAGCCAGATCAGTCTTCCAGTCTGCAGCACAGAGAAGCAAGCACATAATCTTTCTTTGCTGTGACCGAAATGTATCCCTCATTTATCATCCTCTGCCTTGTTGGGGATTGCTGCTAAAATCAGTATTATTTTGTTTTTTAAAATATTTGTTTTTTTAACCATGCTCTCCCAGCAAAGATGGGACTTTAAATTCCCATTGCCAACAAAGGCTTTTCAGAGTATGTCAGGCTCACTCTTGTTTCCTGAATCCATGCATTTGAAAGGTTTTAATCAGCTGTTTCTTATTACTCTAACTGGTTTTAAGCTGTAACCATGAGACTGCTGGCCTGATGGGGCAGGCAGCTCCAGTCAGGGCAGTTAGGAGTCACGTGCCTGATGTGGAGCCACATCGCAGCAGCGGGGCCCCTCCGGTCTGAGCACTGCCTGCTGCTGGAGACAATGAAGGCACGTCCAGGCCGGATAGGCTGAGTTACCTGAAGAAAACCCATTTGTATAAGTCAGACATTTATACAACACAAGGATGGTATTATACATCATGCTTATTTTAATAAAGCTGTTTTAAATTCTAGCTATGGCCTTCCTGGTGGTACTTTCTTCAACTGCAAACTCGAAAAAGAGGCCTTCCAGAGAGGGGCTGAGTCCAGCCCTGTGAGGAGGTCTTTATAAGGACCTGTAAATCTGGCACCTTATTGGGTCTGTAAAACAAAGCGAAGGAGATATCATTGCTTCTCTTTTTTAGGTGAGCAAATGAAATTCACCAAACAGTTGTCAATCTCCAGTTCTGTGGCAGGTCCTGAGGTGACTGAGAAACAGCCTCTGTCTTTTCATATCTTTCCCATTAAGTGGAAGAGGTAGTGTCAGCAACCATCACAAGCTGGCTTCAAAAGGTGCTTTAATAGGTGTGCCCTGTACCCAGGCCAGCCCACCCACCCAGCAGAACAGAGTTCCTCTCTGTTTGGAGCAGCTCTAAGCCTTTCTGGAGGATTCACCTTGTGCCCAGGACTGTGCTTGTCCTGTCAGAGTTGCCAACACAGAAAAATGTCACCTTGCATCCCCAGGCCCCATGTTCATCATGCAGAGGGCCTTCCATGTGCCTTGTCCCATGTAATCCTCAGAACTGGGCTGGGGTGGGAAGGGCCTTTATAGGTTCCCAAAGAGATGGCAAGAGGGAGGTCTGAGTGTCTGGACAGTAGACTGGGTGCTACTGGCAGCTTTTCTCCCAAGGGAGAGCAATGAGTGGAGATGGGAGCAGGAGCTCTTCTCTCTGGGGGTAGGTAATGGGCCAGGCCACCATCTGTGCTCACCAAGATTGTCTCCATGTTGATGACAACATTCTGCTGACCTTTGCAGTGACCCTTACTACCTTCACATCCCTTCTTCATCTGCCCAGAGTGGGATGGGCTGGCCTGCAGAATCTGAGCCTTTCATCCAAAGTCTCCCCAGTCCCTGGGGACTTGGAACGAGGGCATGAGTTTTGTCTTTGAACTCCAGCCTGGTCAGTCCTCCAGGTTGGTCCAGCAGGGACATGACTTCCATGGGCTTCCTGCACCAAGCACTCCCCGCCCCCACCTATCCTGCAGCTCCAGCCAGGCTCTCACACCTCTGTGCCTCTGCTCAGGTTGTGCCCTCTACCACCCTCCACCTGAACCCAGCCCACCTGGCGAAGCCCTTCTCATCCTCCGTGGCTTTGCTCAAGTGCTGCCCTACCTACTTTGGTTTGCTAGCATTATTGTACACTTACCAAGTTACAGGTGCTTTCTGAAAAGTTCACAAGGCATTATCTCATTTGATTCCCACAGCAGGCATATGAGGTAAGGCACTAGTATTTTATCCCCACTTAATGTGAGAAATTAAGCAGAGAAAGGAAAAATTGCTTGCCCGGGACTCTACAACTGGGAAGGTGGAACCGGAATTCATCCCAGAGAGATGTGGTACCCAGAGTTGTGCTGCCCACATTCAAATCCCAGCTCCACCACTTACTAGCGTTGGGCCTTGAAGAAGTTACTTAATCTCTGAGGGTCAGTTTCTTCAGCCAAAAACTGGAAATGCTATTGCTTACCTCATGGTGCTGTGTGAAAGTTACAAACTAATGTAAAGTGTTTAGAGCAGTTCCAGGCACACAGAGCAAGTGCTTAATAAATGTGAGCTATGATAGTTGTTTTTATTGTCTCCTGGGGCAGAATTACTCGACTCATCCCAGTGAGAGAGATGAGCTTTCCCCCCTTCCCTCGGCTTGTGTGGGAAGGACTTAGGTGGGTGGAGATGGTTGAGCTGAGTTTTGGGAACACAGACACAAAGGTACGGTGCCTGCGCTTGGAGCTCCCTGCCCTTACGAGAAAGAGGGCTGTACAAGGGGGACTTTCACGTGGCATGGCCCTTCCCCTGGCAGAACTGTGTGCAGAGCAGTGGCAGCTCAGTGGAGGGTGCTGTGAATAGAAAGGGGCATTTGTCCCAACTCTTAAGTCCAAGGACTATAGGTTCAAAGCCATTCCCACCTCAGTGAGGTCAGATTGCAAACCCATGCAAGAACTACTTTGGAGAGAGCAGCCTGTGCAGGCTAGAAAAACTGGGGGGGAGCCTAGAACTGCAGTCACTGGATGGGTGTCAAGGAGCTGGCCTGGCTGATCTATTGAGTTGTGCCTCCCTCTTTTCTGTGCCCCACCCCTGTCCCTGCAGAAATAGCAGCACAATGGACCTGACACTCTTTGCAGCTGAGGCCATTGCCCTTAACCGCCAGCTGTCTCAGCATGAGGAGAATGAACTGGTAAAGGAGTCAGAGGCACTGGCCAAGGGCCTCTGCTCTGTGAAGCTTTCCCCTCCCTCCAAGTCACGCCTGGCACGCCGGAGAGCGCTGGCCCAGGCAGGCCGCAGTGGAGATGCAGGAACGGGCCCAACACCCACAGCACTCTGACCCCCTCCAGTCACATCTTCCAGGCCATAGGCCTGTCCAGGCATTTCTCCCCCCACTTCCCACCCCCCGAGAAACCTGTGAGGCCGAAGTCTGCAGATCAGGCAGAGGGGTTTTATAGCTCCATCCGGGAAGGCCCTAAGGTCTCCACCCACATCCCCCCATTTCTCCAGAGTCCTCAAGGAAAAAGCTTTTTCCCAAGGGGTTGTCTTTGAGAAGGAAAGCAATCACTTGTCACTTTGCATAATCATCTGCAGCAGGGACATCTCTGCTGGGCTTTAGCCCACCTGCTCACCCTTCTGCCTATCCAGGATCCTTCCCGCTCTCACTGGCAGGCAGCAATGGCGACTGGGGCTCTAGCCTTCAGGGAGCCAGCCTTGAGAAGCATCCGATGACAGAGGCTCTTTCATCTCTCTGTACCTTCACCTGCCTCTGGCAGTCCTTCCACCTTCCTCTGTCCTCTGGATGTCCTCCCCCACCTTGGCTGAGCAAAGCAGTCCCCTCAATTCAGGGGAGGGCAAGAAGCCTTCCACATTCAGGAAGCCAGATCAGTCTTCCAGTCTGCAGCACAGAGAAGCAAGCACATAATCTTTCTTTGCTGTGACCGAAATGTATCCCTCATTTATCATCCTCTGCCTTGTTGGGGATTGCTGCTAAAATCAGTATTATTTTGTTTTTTAAAATATTTGTTTTTTTAACCATGCTCTCCCAGCAAAGATGGGACTTTAAATTCCCATTGCCAACAAAGGCTTTTCAGAGTATGTCAGGCTCACTCTTGTTTCCTGAATCCATGCATTTGAAAGGTTTTAATCAGCTGTTTCTTATTACTCTAACTGGTTTTAAGCTGTAACCATGAGACTGCTGGCCTGATGGGGCAGGCAGCTCCAGTCAGGGCAGTTAGGAGTCACGTGCCTGATGTGGAGCCACATCGCAGCAGCGGGGCCCCTCCGGTCTGAGCACTGACTGCTGCTGGAGACAATGAAGGCACGTCCAGGCCGGATAGGCTGAGTTACCTGAAGAAAACCCATTTGTATAAGTCAGACATTTATACAACACAAGGATGGTATTATACATCATGCTTATTTTAATAAAGCTGTTTTAAATTCTAGCTATGGCCTTCCTGGTGGTACTTTCTTCAACTGCAAACTCGAAAAAGAGGCCTTCCAGAGAGGGGCTGAGTCCAGCCCTGTGAGGAGGTCTTTATAAGGACCTGTAAATCTGGCACCTTATTGGGTCTGTAAAACAAAGCGAAGGAGATATCATTGCTTCTCTTTTTTAGGTGAGCAAATGAAATTCACCAAACAGTTGTCAATCTCCAGTTCTGTGGCAGGTCCTGAGGTGACTGAGAAACAGCCTCTGTCTTTTCATATCTTTCCCATTAAGTGGAAGAGGTAGTGTCAGCAACCATCACAAGCTGGCTTCAAAAGGTGCTTTAATAGGTGTGCCCTGTACCCAGGCCAGCCCACCCACCCAGCAGAACAGAGTTCCTCTCTGTTTGGAGCAGCTCTAAGCCTTTCTGGAGGATTCACCTTGTGCCCAGGACTGTGCTTGTCCTGTCAGAGTTGCCAACACAGAAAAATGTCACCTTGCATCCCCAGGCCCCATGTTCATCATGCAGAGGGCCTTCCATGTGCCTTGTCCCATGTAATCCTCAGAACTGGGCTGGGGTGGGAAGGGCCTTTATAAGTTCCCAAAGAGATGGCAAGAGGGAGGTCTGAGTGTCTGGACAGTAGACTGGGTGCTACTGGCAGCTTTTCTCCCAAGGGAGAGCAATGAGTGGAGATGGAAGCAGGAGCTCTTCTCTCTGGGGGTAGGTAATGGGCCAGGCCACCATCTGTGCTCACCAAGATTGTCTCCATGTTGATGACAACATTCTGCTGACCTTTGCAGTGACCCTTACTACCTTCACATCCCTTCTTCATCTGCCCAGAGTGGGATGGGCTGGCCTGCAGAATCTGAGCCTTTCATCCAAAGTCTCCCCAGTCCCTGGGGACTTGGAACGAGGGCATGAGTTTTGTCTTTGAACTCCAGCCTGGTCAGTCCTCCAGGTTGGTCCAGCAGGGACATGACTTCCATGGGCTTCCTGCACCAAGCACTCCCCGCCCCCACCTATCCTGCAGCTCCAGCCAGGCTCTCACACCTCTGTGCCTCTGCTCAGGTTGTGCCCTCTACCACCCTCCACCTGAACCCAGCCCACCTGGCGAAGCCCTTCTCATCCTCCGTGGCTTTGCTCAAGTGCTGCCCTACCTACTTTGGTTTGCTAGCATTATTGTACACTTACCAAGTTACAGGTGCTTTCTGAAAAGTTCACAAGGCATTATCTCATTTGATTCCCACAGCAGGCATATAAGGTAAGGCACTAGTATTTTATCCCCACTTAATGTGAGAAATTAAGCAGAGAAAGGAAAAATTGCTTGCCCGGGACTCTACAACTGGGAAGGTGGAACCGGAATTCATCCCAGAGAGATGTGGTACCCAGAGTTGTGCTGCCCACATTCAAATCCCAGCTCCACCACTTACTAGCGTTGGGCCTTGAAGAAGTTACTTAATCTCTGAGGGTCAGTTTCTTCAGCCAAAAACTGGAAATGCTAATGCTTACCTCATGGTGCTGTGTGAAAGTTACAAACTAATGTAAAGTGTTTAGAGCAGTTCCAGGCACACAGAGCAAGTGCTTAATAAATGTGAGCTATGATAGTTGTTTTTATTGTCTCCTGGGGCAGAATTACTCGACTCATCCCAGTGAGAGAGATGAGCTTTCCCCCCTTCCCTCGGCTTGTGTGGGAAGGACTTAGGTGGGTGGAGATGGTTCTGGGCTTCCCAGATGAGCCTGGCCTCTGGTCCTTTGAGGGATACTCCTGCCGACAGGCTGCTCTGCCCATCTGGGCTGGGGTCTTTGTTCCAGAGGGGCGATGGTGGAATCAGAGGAAGAATTTGAGGTGGGGACCAGGGGCCTTGGGTTCTAGTCCTTCCTCTAGTCCTTATTCACTAGGTAACCTGGGGAAGTCCCTTACCGTTTCTGAGGACCAGGCCATGCGCCTGGCTCTGCTGGGCAGAGGCAGATATGTCAGACACACTAAACGAGGCTCTGGGAACTGAAACTGAACTGTCCGGGCAGCCAGTTCCCTGGTTCAAGGCTCATGCCTTACCTCACGGGCTGGGCCTTAGGAGAGAGCTGGGCCCCATCAGCCAGAATGTCCTGGAGCTCAGGCCTTTTGCTTCAAGTCCAGTTAGCAGGCCTCAGCCCCAGCCTGGGGACCACTGTCTGAGCCCCATCTGGAGGCCCAAGCACAGGGATCAAGTCTTTCTCCCTCCAGCTCTCCACCTGCTTGAGCTCTGGGTGCTCCTTCTCCCCTGGCTGACTGCCCCTCACCGAACCCATTTCTGGGAACAGCAGTGCCCTGATCCTGTGCCAGCTGCCCCAGCTGCTTAAGTCTGGAGGAGAGTAAGGAGCAAGGTCTCCCCGTGCAGCAGGCACTCTTGTTGCCATGGTAGCAGTTGCCTTGGAAGCCGCTTCCAGACTTCAGCCTCTGAACAGCCTGGGAAAGCTGCTGGTCCCCCAGGGGATCGGGGAATTAATCACTCTCTTTTACAGGGTCCTCACCCTCAAGGAAGATAAACAGAACAAAACCAAGCTGAGGCCTTTTTGCCCACTCTTCCTCCCCACCCCCATGCCACCCTTGGACTTGGTGCTTCTGTGAGGGAAAGAGCATAGGCAGGCATCCACCAGCCGAGGCCTCGCCAGGAAACGAAGAGGAGAGATTATGACAACTCAGCGGTGATGCATGGCCTGGCCACACCCTGAGTCCAGGGCTGGGAGGACAGGTCTCAGCACCCTTTGATACTTGTCGAGTGGGGAACAGGTGTGGTAGTTGCGCTCTAGTGCCTTGGGCCTCCATCTCATTTACTTACAGTAAGCACATTGCCCAAGGATAAGTATGTATTTTCTTCAGAGATGATACAGTTTATATGGAGGAAAGAATTGGCAAATCTCCCTCTACATTTGTTGTCAGTGGAGGAGCTGGGTCACAAAACTTTCAAATAGCCTTTAATGACACTCGAATGATTCCTTAGAACGAACACATCGTCTCTCTCTGACGGAGTTGCCAATTCCTCCCAACTCGAATAAGACAATTTAGAAATTCAGGGGCAGAGATATGCTAGAGTACTCCCAGCTGAGCAGGGAGGGAATCTGGACACTGAGATTCTACCCAGGACTCTGAGGCAATCCTGCTCCCCAAGTCTTAGTTTCTCCGTCTGTTCTGTAAAGGACCTGGGACAGTTCTGTGATCTAATAAGTGATAAAGGCTTAATGTGTCTCCCCTCGAATTTCCACCTCTGACTCTGTGCCCTGAAGGATGTACAGAGTCAAAAAAAAGAATCTACTCTAGAATTCGGTCTCCAATTTTTAGAGGTCAGAGTATTCTGGAATCTAGAACTCACAACGCACTGACATCCCTGAGTCTGGCCTCTGCCATCCCCAAAGGAGCAAAGTGAGTCTCAGGGAGGTGGGACGGCTGGCCCATGTCCCTCAGAGTGAGGTGCCTCTGTCTCGCTGATGGTTTGGGAGTCCTGCCGCAGCCTTACACTGTGACAGGAGCCTGCACAGGCCCTGCTGGCCAGAGGCATGCAACCTCGTAAGGGGGCGTGGGTGGGGGTTGTGGAGGGTGCTGGGATTCCTAAAGCTCCTCATCTTGAGAATGTGTTTTCATGGACAATTATTTTAACAGCTCTTTCTAAAACTAGTCAGAGAGGATCAGTTACATGTGACAGAGACATGCCTGTCATTTATGCCTAATTAGAGGAATAATCAGACCTCATCCTGATGAGGCACAGGGGATGCCAACAGCAGTGGCTGTGGCTGGGGAATGCTCACCTCCTGGGGTTCCTCTCATGGGGGCCGGGAACACAGCTAGGGGGCCATCAGTGCTCCTCAGTCACCCCTCTTCTGTACATACCTCTGAGTTAACACCTGTCCTTGCCCAGCCCTCTCCCCAGTCTCCCTCAGCTGAGGCTCAGACAGAGCACTCTGGCCTTCTTAGGCCCCCACCCAAGGAAAGCCTCTTGTTAGGGACAGAGGTCCCACCATGCCTATGGCCCTCCTCTTTGCCAATCCAAGGGGTTCTGCAGGTCCAGTCCCTGCCTGCGCTCTGCCTTGTGTCTAGAAGCCTAGCCCAGGTCCCCTCTAGCCATGGCTGTGGCACACTCCCTGAACCTACCCTTGAGGGGTCACAGTCTACAGAGGAGACAAAATGAGGACAGATGGAAGGCACTTCAGCATGGGGACATGGGAGCAGTGGTAGGCAGCCCACCCACTCAGGTGCCATCAGGAATTGCCTCAGAGTGGGGTCTGGCTGAGAAAGGTGCTGAAGGATGAGGAAGCATTCTCCAGACAGTAGGGACCAGGCAGACTCTCAGCAGAAGGGCAGCAGAAGAAAAGGGGAGGGACAAGGGTCGGGGGCAGCTGTGGAGGCAGAAGACCTTGCACCTGGCTATGTCAGACTACAGACATGGTGGGAGAGATGGTGAGATCTAAAGAGAGGCCAGCAGGACTGGTAACGGGAGCTCAGGTGCAGGGCTAGGGCAAGGGCCAGGTTCTGGGGTGGGGATGCTTTGATCCATAACAAACGGCCCAGAGGAGGATGCAATCAGTGATGAGGGCAGGAATGGAGGAAGAGCTGGGCTGGGCTACCACTACCCAGCCTCAAGTTGGTGATCCTGCAAGTAGGGCAGACAGACTAGGCAGAGGAGCTCAGTCCAAAGGTCGGGAGGCACCAGCTGTATCCCAGTCTCCTGACCCTGGCTGCTTTCACCCAGCTCCTGCCAATTCCTCTGCCCAACCCTGGACTTTATGTGCCTTCCCCCAGCCCCTACTGATGGTCCCTGTCAGCACCCAACCAGGGATCCTGGGCAGCTGGAACGGCTCACCCTCTCAGCCCAGTGAAAAGGTAACTGGAAAGGGAGTGGGTACTGAGTCTACCTGAGGCAAAGGAGATCCCCTGAGATTTGCTTCAAGCTAAGACCCCCTCAGCCCTGCCTGGGAGCTCAGGGGTTGGTGGGCCGGGGGAGGGGCAGAGGGAGAGAGTGGACTTAGAGGAATACCTCTCCCTCTCCTCCTGTCCCAGTTGCTGTTCCTGTCTTTTGCGCCTCCTCCAGGACTCCTCCCATGCCTCTGTCTCCAAGTCCCCAGGCAAGATCCCCAGGTGCCAAATGGCAGAAGACAGCAGAGTGGGCCCTAAGCATGTGGTGGTGGGGGGATGGGGGTCTCCTCACATGACTGCTGGGTCTCATGTGAGGCCACCAGCTCATTCTGCTCCCTCAGGAACCAACAGTGGAACCTGGGCTGAGTGCCCTAGTGGGCCTCTGGGACCCAGGCAGCAGCTCACATTGCAGCCTCATGAATAACTCAGCACTTCCCTGCTGCCTGCCTCTGAAGAACCATATCCCTTGGACCACCTCCCCCACTGCTTTAAATTTTTAACAGGCTGAGGCTCAGTGGCAGCTGGGCAGGCTCCAGGGAGCCAGGGCAGGATATCCTGGGCAGGGGGCTCAAGCTGAGCTCTCCCTAGAGGAGGCTAACAGGGGAGGACCCCAATGGCCAGGCACAGCTCTCCAGAAATATGTAACCAAGGCAGGATGTGCAGGCAGAAATCCCAAAAGTAGCCTCCAGATTCAGGGGCCCTTAAGGAGGAAGAGTAAGCCAGGGTGACATGCGGCTGGGGGGGCACTTAGGAGAGCTTTGGGATAGGGTTGCAGATAAATCCAAGGGTTACCAGCCCAGAATCTTTCTGCCCAGAACTCCCACCCTCAAGGTGGAGCTCCAACAAAGGGACGTCCAAGAGGACTGATACCTCCAGGGCTCTTCTGGGGACAGGCCCCTCTGGCTGGAGGCTGTACCTGGGTAGGCCTACATGGACATCCCCAGCAGCAGCAGAGACTTCCACTGCCTGCAGCTGGCCTGTGTGGCCCTCAGCCTGGTGGCCGGCAGCATCATCATCGGTGTCTCCATGTCCAAAGCTGCAGCTGCTATGGGTGGCATCTTTATTGGCGCCGCTGGTCTGGGTGAGCAGTGCTGGGCTCAGAGGGGGTGCAGGGGCATGGTCAGGGAAAGGGGAAATGTGGAAAGGGCAGAGTCAACAGGGATGGGTGTTGGAGGATGGAAGCTGGAGAGAAGCAAGGCAGCGGGGGCTGCAGAGAGGGAGAGGAAGGCTGGGCTGAGGTGCCTTCTGCGGGAGGGTGAGGGGACCGTGGAAGAAGGAGCTGGTTGTCACGCTCCTCTCTGGCCGCTCTCCCTCCGGTTCTCCAGTCCCAAGCCCTGTGCGCTTGGGTTTGTGGTGGAATTCATAAGCCCACTGTGAGAGGGTAGTTGGGGGGCAGGTAAAAGAGGACGGAGTTCCCAGCTGGACTCTCCTTGAGCCAAGACAAAATCCAGCTCAGACAAAAGGTTTCCTTTTCTTTCCAGGTATGACTTAGCAGCAGATCTGTCTGTCCAGGCGTCTGTCCATCTTTCTATCTGGGCCAGTCTAACTGATACCCCCACACTGATGCCATCCCTCATCCCGCTCCACCATCCCGGGCCAAAAGCAGAACCAGAAGCCCCAGGCTGGTGGGCTCTGGGCATCCGTATCTGCAAACTCCAGCCAAGAGCCACAGACACTTAGTCTGGGGATAAAGTGGGAGTGGGTAGGGCAGGGCCCACTCTTCTGTTACCCCCTCTCCAGGGTAGGGTGTGGGGGAGGAGCATGCTGAGGAGCCCCCTAGTCCTGCCCTGGAGGCCCTAAGGGAGCATGGGGCAGGTGGTGGTATCAGCTGGACCCATTTCCAGATCACTGAGAATGAAGGAAGCCAATGTATTCCCCACCTGGGCATGGTGAAGCCAGGAGCATGGACCTTCCCCAAGTGTAACCCCTTCCCCAGACAGGTGCTGCTCCCTGCCCTCTTCTGTGCTGGAAAGCCACTCTGTGTGTGTACACACACACACACACACACACACACACACACACACACTCCCAACCTGCACATTTGTGTTTCCCCATGCACACTAGCACTCTCATCAACTACCGCCCAGGCTCAGCCCACCCACAGCTTCATGCAGCTCACACTAACCAGGCTCCCTCCCCATCACAGAACCCCTCTGTGTCTCTCTTCTAAGGGCTTCTCATCTTGGCCTACCCCTTCACGAAAGCTAGATTCAACCTGGACCGCATCCTGCCTACAATAGGTGAGTCCTCTTCCCTGCCCCTAGCATACCCTTCTGCCAAAGAATGTGCGAGACGCACTGTGTGGTGGAGCTGAGCCCACGTGTGTGACTGCTCCTGGCTGTGTGTGTGCTGGAACTGGTGTGTGTGTGTGTGTGTGTGTGTGTGTGTATCACCATGACTACAGTGCAGCGGCCTGCTGCCTGCCGCAAAGGGCCTGAACCAGCTCAGAACACGGAGAACTCCCATCTCCCCTGAGAGATTCTCCATCTCCCCCAAAGCCTCTGAGATCTACAGATAAGCCCATTTCACCCCTGAGCCCCCATAAAGACCCTCTATCTCCCCTCAGACCTCAGGACCCTCATATATATCCCTAAATCATCTCAGCTCCCCACATACATGCTCCTGTCCCATCAGCCCTGCAGGGCTCTACATATCCCTAATTTTCCCCAGGACACCCACCCTCTTAAAAAATCTGCATAGGCAGTCTTATCCTTCAAGGTCCCATTTCTTCCACCCCACCCCACCCAAATCAGCCCAGATCGTGTGAGAGATCTAAAGGAATGCCGTGGAGCCAAGGCAGCAGCAGGGATGGAGATCAGATAGCAGAAAGTACTTCCTTTCCCAAAGCCGGATTAGGTTTGAGAATGGCTTAGTAACCAAGGGGCTTTGGGTGATCTCATCCTGCAGGGAGCCTGAGAATCCACCCCCACCCAGGGCCAGACCATGGGGAAGGAAGATCCAGCGCCAATGGCAATAAAGAGGGTAAGTTCCAGAAATGCCAGATCCATCTTCCATTTTCCTCTCTGGCTGAGCAGCCTTGAGGACCCCAGGAAGAAGCCTTGAGAGACATGCAGAAGGGGTTTCCCCAGACACAGGGAGCCCGCAGAGTTGGGCAGTTCTTCCCTGTGTTTAGTCAAAACCCTTCTTGTTCCAAGCTGAGCTGAGCTCCTCCCGTTTGTCCTCAGAGCATCTCTGTCGTACCCGGCGCAGACCTGGGAACAGATGGCTCTTCCCTGCCCCTTCTCCCCTCCTAGGCCCCATGCCCTGGTTGGTTTTCTCCCTCTTTTCTCCCATGAATGAATCTACCTCTCAGAGCTAGTACCTGAAACTGAATATCTTCTGCCTCCCCCTTCCTCACACACTGGAAAATTCCAGGCAGGGGTTTTTCAAAGATGGCCCCAACCCAGTGTCTGCCACCACTGGTAAGATGCCTAGTCTCAGCCAAATATTCCAGACACTGTTCCACTTTACATATATTACTTTGTTCCATTCTCAGAACAACCACATGAGGAAGGTACTGTAATTAGCCCACTTTCTATATGGGACAACTGAGACACAAGGAGATTAAGTGATGCAGCCATAAGTGGTGGGGCCAGAAGTGAAACCAGGCAGTGGCCCCAGGGTCCTGCCTCTAGCTACCTCCCAACCCCCAACAAAGCTACTGTCCTTTTGAAGGGCCATTCTGACCATCTGTGCCTCTTCAAACTCAGGAAAACTGCCCTCTGGGTCTTCCCTTTCTCCCCATTCTATCCTGCTCTGCCCCCGGGTCCTTCTGGGCTGTTCTGATGCAGGATCTGCCTATTCAGGTGGCCCTGTCCTGGTCTGTCCCCCAGAAGCACGAAGCAGCCTGTCTACTGTGAGCAGAACACTGGAGAAGCTGAAGATGGGGTCCCGGGGGACTGGGGAGAGCTGAGGCAGGGGCTGAGGGGCTACTCCTTGCCCTACCCTCCCTTCCTGCCTGCTACCCTGATCTCACAGCCCTCCAGGATCCAAACCAGAGGTGAACCAGGCCCTGGAGACATCAGATCAGCATTCACCCAGGCCACAGCTCTTGGCAATGGATTCCAAGGGGCACAGGGCAGGGCCTAAGGCAGTGCCACTGGAGGTACCACAGGGGCTCTTGTTTCAGGCTCTTGACCTGGGTTTTACCTCTGGACTGCAGCTCAGTTGCATTCCTCTATTCCTCTAGTTCCTCTGGAATTTGGGGCCCAGGGATACCTCAGTCACTTGCTCCAGCCTGGCCCCAGAAGTGAACCCCAAACCCACAGGAATCACAGACAAGGACCTGGCTGTTGGCCTCTAGAGCTCACCAGCTGGATAGAAAGCTGGACCAGATTCTTTTCAGGATACTGGAAACTCTGGGAAACTCCTCAGTGACAGGGACTTGGCAGCAGAGATCGGGACATATCCTAGACAAACAAGATAGCCACTGCTATGACAGGAGCCCTAGTGAGGCACAGACCTGGAGGCTTCCAGGAGGAGGTGGCTCCTCAGCTGAGCCCTGCCCTGAGACTCTTGGTGTTCAACTCCAACATTCAAAGCTTTTTTGTGATCTGGCTCCAGACAAGACCTCCAGCCTTCCCTCTTCTACCCACTTTCTCATTGCTCCTGAACAATCTAAATGCATTCCAGCCCCCAAGCGCTGGCCTATGTTCTGGAGGACCTGGTCCAGGAATGTGTGGCTGTCAGAAAACATTGCTCCTGCCTCCACACCTGAACCCTCAAGGTGGAACAGAGTTGTTTGACCTCTACAGAGACATCTGCTCCATGTGGCTTTTGTCCTGGTTTGGTGAGCAGAAGACAAGCTGGACAGAATCTCATTCTTCAAGGATCAGTGCAGATGACACCTCGGCTCAGAAGCTTCCCCTGATTTCACTGTGCTCCCACAGCCCTAGGGCTTCCCTTCATCACAGCCCCCACCACTCTGAGTGGCCCTTGTCTATTTCCCCCTGTCCAGAGTTGGGGGAAGAGTGCTAGGCACACAGAGGGCACCCTGTGGATGTTGGTAAACCAAACCTCAAGTGGGAGAGACCATCTCATTGTACAGATGGGAAAGCTGAGGTCTTGCAGGGAAAAGTACTCAGTGAGGCCCGTGGTGAGAAGCTGTGGAGCCAGGTCTCCTTTCTCCCCACCCGAGGCTCTGTGCTGTGCACAGGCCACAGGCACCAACTGTCTGACCACGGTGGGACAGGCCTCCGTGAAGGGGTACAGTTTCACAAATGCTGGCAGCGTGTAGAGGCTTTGGTTCTTCCAGCCCGAGGGTAGTCAGCCTTCCCTCCTTGAATCTCCCTCCTCTCCAGCTCCCTCCTGCCTGCTCCCTGCCCTTCTCCTTGCTTTCAGCGTTATCACCATCAACAATGACAGGCCTGAAAGAGTGGATCTGTGGCATCTTACTACACTGATGGGACAGCGACTGCATTGGGGTATAGGTGGAGACTTGATAATATGGGTAAATGTAGTAACCACATTGTTTTTTCATGTGAAACCTTCATAAGAGTATATATCAATAATACCTTAATAAAAAATTAAATAAAATTTAAAAAAACCTCAGGCCTGGTGGCCCTTCCTTGATTAGTAAGGAAACCCTTTCTACTATCCACCTTCAGTCCTTATCTGCAGCACCCCAGAAAGATGCCCAAGTGTGGAAGGGGTGCGAGTGGAGGATGTGGAGCCTGAGCTGTGGGGCGGGTGCTCCCCCTTGCTGACCATCAACCCTTCCCAGCTACAATCCCCCTAAGGCAGGCTGTGGTATCCCTGATGCCTGGCAGGGCCAGGCCCAGACCCAGAACGGTTTGGGGATCAGAGTGGAATATATTAAGCAACAAATACCTAAAAAGGCGAGAGCTGTGTCCAGTTCTTACTGGGTGGGGGTGGGATTCAAAGGACCCCTGAAACTGTGGAAGTCCTGGATGCCTGAACCTCTGCTGCTTTTCTTTCCCCTGCCATGGACTTCCCAAGACCTCCTTCCCCCCAATCCAGATAAATGTCCAGATACCTCCTCCCCAGGTATATCTCTACTTCTGATCTCCCACCCTCTCAACCTGTGGTCACAGGAGGGTCCATGTGGAGACACATGCCTTCTTCCTGTCCATGCTTTGGAAGAAGGTGAGACTGCGCCGAGCAGGTAGGGGTGGGGTGGTGGGTGGTGTTAGCGGGAAGCGCCCTCTCACCTCTGAGCAGCTGCAGAACCCTCCAGTGGTTCAGCCCAGGAGGGGTTGTGGGCAGGGACAGGTCATTGGACCCAGCTCTTCCAACAAGTCTGTTCAATAAATGAAATTAGTTCTGTCCAGCAGTCCTGTTCCGACCTCAACTGTGATGCTGTCCACCTGGGCCCAGGACAGGTGCCGATAACACATCGACGCTGGGGAGTCCTTGGTCCAGGCGGCCCCCAAAGCCACTTCCCTGCTGGCCAGCCTGGAGGACTGAGCAGGCTGGGGCTGGAGTCTGGGGATAAGACTCACATCCTCGTCTGCCCCTCCCCCCAGGGGCTAGGCAAGAGGCTGTGGGGGCTTGCGCCTCAGTTTCCCCACCTGCAGACGGAGGGTGAGTGGAGCACCTCCCTCACAAGGCCAGCGTCATGATGAAGGCTGCCTGGCGCATGGCCTACATCAAGGAGGGTTTATGAACGGATGAGTGGATGAATGACAGGAGAGGCTGAAGGTGAGGCTCTTCCTGCTGAACTACTCCAGATTCTGAGAAGTCGTCACCTCAGACTCCCACCCCTCACCCTTACGAATCCCAGCCGGAGACGGAGTCGGCGTCTGCAGGGGCGCGTGGCCACACCCCTCTGGGTGCGGGATTGGAGGGAGGAGGGGAGGGGATTGAAAGCAAGCCCCGTCCCTGGGAAAGTCTCCCTGCCCCCAGAGCACCCCACTCCTCCGGGGGTGGTGAGAGTCCGTCTGAGGCTGAAGACGCGCCGGTGCAACCTGCAGCCTTCGCTCTGGAGGGAGTGGCAGTGTCTCCATCCGGACTGGAAAGTGCAGCCCGGAGCCGGGGCGGCCGGGACTTCACTGCCCGCCGCCCCCCACCCGCCACCGCTAACCCAGAGGAGGGAGGGGAGGGGGCGGGGCGGAGAGGGAGAGGGGAGGACGCTTCGTGGGATCGCCGCTCCTCCGGGGTCAAAGGGGAGACCAGGGGCAACAGCGAGGCTCCGAGAGGGGCGCCCCGCCTCAGGGGCTGCTCCCTGGCCGCCGGCCCCGTCGCGCGCCTCCCAGGCCCCCACCCTCCCGCCCAAGCCGCATCTCCGAGCCGCCTGCGGGTGAGTGAGGGGGACGCGCCGGCCAGTGCCTGCGACCCCTGAGCCTTCCGCGAGCTGAGCCCCGCAGCCCTGCGCTCGCCGGTCCCTCCCTCCTTCGGGCCGAGCTCAGGGGGCCACCAGGCAGGACCGGTCAATAAGCGCCCACCGGACTAGCTCAGGCAAGTGAAAGCCACACAAGTTGGGGGAGGCGGGAGGGCGGGCATGGGGGTGAGATGAGAGGGGTGAGGGTGGCGAGGAGGGGATTTTGTAAAGGAGAACCCTCATCCAGCCCCAAACCCCAGGGAAGGAGAAGTGTCCAGACCAGAGGCCAGGGACCTGCAGCCTTGAGACGGACTTCTCAGAAAGGAGATGAGAAGGACAGACAGGGAAACTGAACGGGAGACACAGCACGGAGTGGCTGCCTTGGACCCCCTCTGCTCTGCTCCCAGCCCAGTGGACTCTTTAACTCAGTAAGAATCTGCACCAGAACCCACCTCTGGTCTTCACCCAGCTGCCCACCACACCCTGCAAAGGCCCAAAGTGAGGAGGAAATCAGAAGTAGACACAGAGCAACTTCAGACCCAACACACAGATGAAGCCAGGAAGGCAGGAGACCCCTCTAACCAATTCCTCCCTTCCTCCTTGTTCAGCCAGTAATCCCAGGGCACCACCCCCCGTGATGCAGTAGCAAACAAGGTGGTCCTCAAAGGAGACTGTTGGGGGATGCAAACCTAAGTTGGGGAGATAAGGAAAGCTTCTTGAAGGAAGTGACGTCCCAGCTGCTCTCTGAAGCCTGAGCTGGAGTTAGCCAGGTGAAGGGCAAGTCCCCTACGGTTCAGACACAGGGAGAAGCCTGTTCACCTGACCACACCTGGTGAGTTCAGCTCCACTTGAGCAAAATCAAGAGGGCCACCTGGAGGGAGCCTGGTCTGGGATGGCAGTAGGGGAGAGCCCAGGAGGGATGTGACCAGTAGGGAACGATGGGGACTGAGCGAGTAGAGTGACTGTGAGACTAGAGAGGAAACGATGGATTCTAAACACTTCGGAGGGAAGCATCTGCAGGGTTTGGTGATAGCGTGGATTGCAAGTGCATGGAGGAAGCCTGAGGGAGGAGGAGCAAGGATGAAGTCTGGGTATCTGGGAGTCTGGGCTTTGTGGAACAAGTTTGAGGAGCTTGTTTCTAAGAGGAAGAGAATCTTTCCAGGAGGGAGGGCTCAGTGGGGCCAAAGCTGGGCAGAGGTCAAGTTAGTTTAGGGCTGAACAGTGTCACTGAATTCAGTGACAAGGAGGCGGCTGGTAGCCTTGGAGAAGCAGCATGATGAGGCAGCAACCGACTACAGTGCATTGACTCTTGAGAAGGAGGTAAAGTAGGGAATGTAGACAGCAAAATTCCAGAAGGGAAGCTAGTGTTAACTAGAGGCAGATGTAGGGTTGAAGGAGGGTTTGGTTTTAAGGTGGGAGAGGCTTGAGTGCATCCAGACAGAGGTGCAGTCACAGTGAGAGGAGTGATGAGCACTGACTAGGAATGGGGAGGTTTCCCCAGGGCAATGCCAGAGACATGCCAGCGGGTGCGGTGATTTCTTTTCACCTATGAGGCTTAGCAGTTTAGGCAAAGACTTGGAGAAGCCAGAAAGCCGGAATGATGCAGGGTGGAGGCTTTGCTGGAAAACCTTGACAGAAGGACAAAGAACAAGTTAAGTTGCAAGACAAGGTAAATTGCCAGAGTAACTGACATGAGGCAGTGTGGGTTCTCAGGAGGATGCAGAAAGAAGCAGAGGCAAGAGGGCCATGGATCCAATGAAGAGTTTCAGGATTGCATTAGATCAGAGAATAGTTACAGCAAGAGGCACTGTGGGGTTGTGATGAAGAGCACAGGTTTAGAAGTCATGCAGTCTAGGTTTGAATCCCAGCTCTGCCACATGTTATCACCACATCTGAAACCTTGGGCAAGTAACACAGCCTTTCTGAAACTGTGTCCCTATCTGAAAATGGAGATGGCATTAGCATCTCCCTATCGTGTTGTCAGGGAACTTAAATGAGATCATGTATAGAAAGGGCTTACAAGAGTGTTTTGCTGTGCAGGTGTTTCTATAGTGATAGCAATGGGTTATGGTCAGGCATGGGACATCTGGGCTTCTCAGAGATGGAATGATGACAAGGGTGATGAGGACCGAGGGTGACGAGGGGGGTGGGGTTGGATGGAGGAATTGGCATTGGAGATGAGGAGCCAGGAACCAGGAGGGCACTGGGAGGGGCAGTTGTGCACAGGATGCTGAAGTCTGGAGTAGGATTTAGGCTGGAGGAGAAAGTGCTCATCCCAATACCTTGGAAGGAGGTGGGCAGGAAGGGCAGCCCCACCCCGGGCAGCCTCCAGCCTCCCCTCCCCTGGCCCACTCCACCCCTCAGCTGGCTCCAGGCAGCTGAGTTTTGTGTTGTGGAGACAGAGGCCCAGACAGAAGCTGGAGATCCAAGTCTGGCCCCAGGCATGGCCCCTGCTGGAAGCTGAGGCCCCAGGAGTCTGGTGAAGGTATCAGAGAGGACCAGAAGAGAGCCGGAGGCCCAGGACAGCTGGGGTCACCTCACCTGGCTGGGTGCAGACTTGATCTAAGGAACACAGAGCTGTGATTGCTGCAGAGTCCTGGGTCACTGGGGCCCCTCAGCTGTGCCGGAAGCTAAAGCCTACAGGACCAACAGCAGAGACCAGTTAAACCAAACTCCCACTTTACCAGTAGCAGAACAGCTCCCATGAAGGGAACTTGGAGTGCTTGCCTGTTGTAGCCATGGGAACCCATTGTAAATGGGAGGGAACCATCAGAGCAGCTGGAATGGACCTCCAGTCCCCTTCTCACCCTCGGAGGGGCTCAGCTCTCCTTATCATCAAATTACCTTCCCTCCACCCCCACACTCCCAGGCAAAGAGAAGTCTCCAGAGGTACCTTTGCTGGGCAGCAGCTCATTCCCACCAGATAGGTAGGAAACCGAGAAGAGTGTCTGTCTGCTGTTTCTGGGTTGGCCTGTCTGCAGCGCTTGGCATTCACTGCACCCGTGTTTTGTATTCCTGGGCCACTGAATGTGCGTGCATGTGCGCTCAGAGCTAAGGACGAGGGGCCCAGGAGTCAGATGCAGGGGCTGGGAAGACACAGCACAGACTTCATCCTCAAGCTTTGTTTCCAGCCTGGAGACTTCACTCTGTGTGTGTGTTGCAGGGGAGGAGGCTGTGGCATTGGCTGGGCTGGGGAGGGTGGCAGCTCTCTGGGCTCTGGGGAAGCAGAATCAGCTGGCAGAAGCCGAGAGCTTCCAAGGTAGTGAATAAGCCGGCAATGAGTAATGGTGGTGTGGGAGGTTCCCTGCGGATGGGGATGACTGGGGGATGGAGAGAGTGCTGGGCCTGCAGGGGGCCACAGGAGGGCTGGCTCAGACTTTCAAGAATTGAGGGAGAACAGAAGGCTAAGATTAAGGGGTGAGGGCTAAAGAGCCAGACTGAGCAACAAGGGACTCAGTCCCACATGGGGGACAGGTGGATGTTGGGCTTTCCCATCACCCATGGGCTCTTGGGCCCTTGGAGCAGGCATCTGGGGCCAGGAGATCTGGAAGCTTCCCTGGTCAAACAGCTGCTCTGGTACAACACTGACATCCCAGATCTATGGACTAAGCCAGGGATGGTGGCAGGCTGACTTGAAGGAGCTTCAGCCTAAGACCCACCTCCCCCAACACACACACACACAGCAGGAACTCTTGCCTCCATCTACTGAGGAGCACCCTTCTTGGGCCCCAAGCTTGTTGATAACTGGATAGTTTCAACCAATTACTACATTTTTAAAATAATCAAATATCTCTGTAACTTCCAGTAAGCAGAAATTCTGGTGTAGCAGAAACAACAGAGGCTTTTCAATCTGACAGACCTGGGTTCAAATCCCAGCTTTACCCATTGTAACTGAGTAAGCCAGGGGAAGTTCCTTCACCTTCCTGAGCCTCTGTTTCCTCACTGCAAGATGGGTTCAGGACCACAACAGCTCATAGGGTCGCAGTAAAGATGAACTGTGTTAGTGTAGGGAAAGTGCTTACCGCAGAGTGGCTGTTCAATGTGAGCATCCCTCCCTGATTATCAGAACCCCTGTGCAGCAGGTGACTTCTCCAGGGAGTGAGTTAATCCCAGCCCAAAACAAAGAACAGCTATATTACAGATAAATGTTCCATTTTCATGAGCACTTCTGCAGTTTCTGAACAGGCTCCCATTTCCACCATCAAAACCACAGGTAGTTGAGGATGAAGCAGCAGGCTGACAAGTTCAAAGGCAATATCCAGGTTTAACCTTTCTCTTTACATTCAGGCAGCTGAGGCCCAAAGAAGGGCCCCAGCCTCCCCAGGTGCCCAACCAGACCAAAATCAAGAACCCTGGTCAGCTGAGGCCCAGAGTCTGCCTCTGCCCTTAACTGCTTCTGGCCTAGATGCCCAAATAGAGACCGCAAGGCCTCCTTGGCCAGAGTCAGTTCAAGAGGGAGAGTGACTGATTGACCAGAGTCATGGGCAGCTGAATGGCAGCGGTCAGAGCCTTGGCTGGGTGGGGAAAGGCCTGGTTCTGGTCTGGCCACAGACTCCTTCATGATTTCCTCATTCCAAGCCTCAGCTTCTCCCCTCTGTAGATAAAGGGATTGAACTAGGTGATCTCCACAGGCTTAGCAGCTTGGAGCGCTCACTACAGAGATCTGTTTCAATCCTAACAACTCAAGATTCAGAGGAGTGACCTTCCTTCCCACTCAAGTGATGGAGTTGAGGGCTGGGCTTGGGATGAAGTAGAAAGGGCTTAAAGGATTTGGGATAACAATAGCATCAATTCAGAGGGGCCTGTTTATGAAATTAACTACTCCAGCCTAGAAGTGATGCATGTCACAAGTCATTGGCTGGAACTAGTCACACCATCCACCTAATCACAGATTAGCCAGGAGGTGAGATCTTAACACGTGTTCAGAAAGCAGGAGAACCGAAAAGATTTAGAGAACAGCACCAATGACACCCTGGAACAGAGCTAGCCAGAGCACCCACAGCAAAGCAATCAATACTGCAACAGTCCCTACTGCAGGGCCACAGTCACCAGATGGAAATGGTGGTATATACTGAATTGCATGAATTGCAAGAGCTGAGCTACCTCAACACCTCACCCCTGCATACCCCAGATTTCAAGTAACCTGGGTGGAGGCACCCATCTGCCCTTCCTCTGTTTGGGATGGAGACGAGACTCTGGGAGTAGTTTTGTCTGTCAGTCAGTTCTGCCTCCCAGGAGCAGATAAGAATCATTTGTTGGCATTTAGCACTTAGAAGCTCAGCCCCTTGGTTGGTATTTGCTTTTGTGGAACTGAGCATGCTAAACCAAGGAAGAAGCAAAGTGGGTTTACCTTCTTTGAGAGACACAGAACACATCCTGTCCCCTCTTCTGTTGTTGACACTTGAGCAGTGTAAGTGCCAATTATAGGAGCTTATCCACAGGGCCTTGAGGAGAGCCTATGCTCCCGGCTTCGGTCATTCAGCAAGCATTTAGCAAACCTCGCACTGGGCTAGTTTGCGAGCTCAGGTTTCAAGTTCAGAACACCAGGTTTCAAATCCTGGCACCACCACTGCCACTGAGCCATCTTGGGTGAGTTTAGTTCATCTTTCAGTGCCCCAATATCCTCATCTATAAAATGGGGATATAACAGTAATGCTTAATCTCATGTTCTGAAAATTAAACTAGATGTTACTACAAAGTGCTCAGCATTGCGCAACTCACTTAGTTAGCAATCTGAAAGTGCTAATTTCAGATTCTCAGCTAGACTTGTTTCTGGCTAAGATAGACTACTTGTATCATATCATCTCACTCACTGAGGATAACTAAAAAGGCTGGATGAAACATTTAAGAAATCTCTTTAAAGCCATGGGAGAGCTACCAAAGCAGTGAGGACTTGAGAGGCCAAGATCTCAGAGAGAAAAGTCAAATTTGGTTTCTCTTTTTCCCCTAAGGCATTTTCCAGTTTGGAGAGGCAGTATCCATGGAGTTGGGAAGTCAGAGTTGGGACTTAGGGCTTAAAAAGGGGTGAAGCCTTGTTCAGCACTTCTAGCTTTTAAATGGGGAGCCCACAGGACTATGCTCTAGAAGTAATAATTAGCCAGATGTAGACTAGACTCAGGAAAACAGAAGCACAGCTTCCAGTCAGGACGATCTCCAATTGGGTTAAGGTGGCCTGGAGGGAGATAACATCATCCAGAGCCTTATGTTATCTCTACATTTTTCATACATAATGTTGGCCATTCAATACAAAATTTTCTGACATTCCAGAAAAGACTAAATAACCAAAAACCAAGAGCAATTAGACAGTAGAAAGAGGAGATCCAGATATTGGCGTTTTTAGACACAGACTTTAAGGGTTTTTTAATGTGTTCAAGAAAATAGATAAGAAGAGGGATTCTTTCAATAGAAAACTGGAATCTGTGAAAAAGAATCAAGTGGAAATTGTAGAACTAAAAAAATATAACAACTGAAAAATTAAGAGCTGAATGGATGGATTTTACCACAGAGAAGACACAGGTAAAGAGAGGCTTAGTGAATTGATTGTAAATCAACAGAAAAACATCCAGCCAGAAACAGAGGAAAAAAGGCTAGAAAATACAGAATTGAGTCTAAGAGACATGTGGGACAATGTCAAATGGTTGAACACGTACACAATTAGGGTCCCAGAAAGAGAGGAAAGAGAATGAGGAAAAAGATAATGGCTGAAAAATTTCCAAAACTAGGGGAAAAGTCAAGCCACAGACTGTAGAAGCACCAGGGAGCCCAAAAAAGATAACTACAGAGAAAATAACACCTAGGCACATCGTAGTAAAATTGCCAAAACCCAAGACAAAGAGTTTTCCCTATAAGGGAAAAGAAAAGAGAGCACTAGACCCTGTATTCACCCTCAGCCTCCCCTCTTACTGGTCAAATGTGAGCTTTCAAGAGTTGCTGTGAGGTAAAGTGAAGAGTCAGACTCCATCCCTTCCGCAGCCTCTGACCAAGTCTGCACAATAGGAGGGAAGACCTGCCATCATCAGATAATATCAGATGTTGATGAGGTGGGGAAGAGCTTGAAAAGGGGGAGTGGGAAAACTTGGGAATCTCACAGCTCCTCTTGAGGACAACAAGAAAGTGCTGGGATTTTCCTCCACATCAACCCTACAAGGATCAAACTCTTCTTTCTAAAATGAAGCAAGATTACATATGATGTCACCCAGATCATGTATTGTCTCTCTCTGGTTTTGGAATGTCTTGTCTTCTTTTCCATCCAACCACGAGGGCCCAGATACACTTCCCTCCCTGAGCCTCAATTTCCTCAGTTGTAAATTGTGACTGTTAATGAATATCAAGCAGTTGTAGGGATTCAGTGATGTATGGATGTGAACACGCTTTGCCAACTGTAAATTGCTATACCCCTTCAGTGGTTGCTGTTTCTGCCTGGCAGAGCCAATAGCTGCAGGTTAAAGAGAGCAGATGGTTCATGCAAATGTGGAGCTTCTGAGGAATCCAAGGTCTGTAAATGCGCTCAAGGGTCAACATGTGCTTGCTTTGCCAGGATTTGGGGGTTTCTGACTTCCTGCCAGCTGGGTGTGTCAGCGAGGTGCTTCTTGCTGGAGCCCTGTTTGGAACTTCCACCTCACCATGGTGCCAGGGGAGGGAACCCTGAAGTAATCAGATCTGGTCAGATGTAGAGGTGGCCCTCCAGGCCCTCTGATTGGGCCAAGCTGACATCCAGAGTGAGTATGCACCCTGCTGCTCCCTAGCACTAGCCTTTGTTTACACTCGCCTGTCACCAAATTCTCTGCAACCCTCTGTGTGCAGGCTTTGGACACTCAGGAAGGACAGCTCAGGGCCTGTCCCTGGGGCACTTTCACCTGAGGGACAGACCAACTGTTCTCTTCCCAAACTCCCCATGACCGATGGACCTCCTGGATCTGAGACCTCAAAGGCCCTTCTTCTGTCAACCACCACCATGATAACAAGGCTAACAGTCACTGAATTCTATGATCCAGCCACTTGATTTAATTTAAGCATTTGATTTTCACAACTTCCTATAAGGTAGGCTCTCTTATTAGCTTCACTTTCCAGGTGTTAACATTGAAGAATAGAGTGTTAGCCCACTTGTCCTGGTTAGGCTCAGTTACTTATCCTGCATGTGCTGCTCCCACTGTGGTACCATCCATTCCTCCCCTTGCTTTCCCACTCAGAGACCTATTCTGACATTTCTTTCACAATTCTAACACAGCTCCATACCTATGATCTCATCCTTTGGGGGCCCTTTATACCTGTGATTTCATGTTATACGACAAACTTCTCAAGTAGAAGTCACAAATCTTTAGACTCTGATTACATCACCCTTGCTTCTCCCTGCACTCCCAGAATCAGCGCACCCAGCAATAGATCCCGGAGCCAGATATAACTGGAGAATCCTAGGGACGCCCAGCTCAGGCAGCAGGTCGCCTTGTAAATTGCTAGACCTCTCTGGGCTTCTGTTTCTTCATCTGGACAAGGAGAGGCTAGACCAAATGATTTCTAAGGCTTCTTCCACTTGGGGGAGGAATGTGTCTAAATCCCATTAGCTGCCACCTGCCACCTAATTAGAACTGATGGTGTCATTTAATGAGCACCTATGATTATGGTTAATGAGCACACCTAATGCGCTGTGTGGTCCGCTTTACAGCCATTGACTCCCTTGACTCCCTCATCAGCCCAAGGAGTCTTCCTGGAGGAGAGGAGGTGGAGGATCTGCCTACGTCTGGAAGACAAGAGGAAGCGTGGAGGGAGGGAGGGTGGCATGATGAGCCACAAGGGACTGAAGGGACTGGGTGGGGAAACAACGGGGGACGCTTCCTACATGGGGTGGGTTGTTGCTTCCCAAAGGCCCAGGCAGGGGCTTGCCAAAATGACCTCTGCACTGGGGGTCAGCGAACGTAGCCACAGAACTGAAAGTAGGTTGGAGGCTTAGATGCCCTGCTGATCCCTTCCTCTTGCTCTCTGCCCACAGGACGACGGTGAGCTCGACCCCCTGACACGTGAGCTGGTCCAGGCCAGCAGCAGGAGGGAGCCTGATGAGCGCCCAGAGCGCCCAGGCAGATGCCGCCCCCAGAGAGGAGCCAGGGAAGCCCCGCCCGGACGCCGGCGGGCCGCGCCCCGGGCCGACTGCCGGGCCTGCCGTCGCCCGCGCTGTTCTGCGCCTGCGGCCTGTGCGTGCTGCTGGCGGGGGTGAACGTGACGTTGGTGGGCGCCTTCGCCTCCTTCCCGCCTGGGCACAACGCGCCCCTCATCGTGGGGCCGGCGCTGCTCCTGCTGGCGCTCGGCTTCTTCGCGGCCTGCTGCGCGTGTAGCCGCCGGGGCCCCGGGCCCCGCACGCGCTCGGGAGTGGCCGCGGGCCCAGGCCAGGGCGGCGGCAGCGCGGGGCGGGTGGCCCTGGAGATGGAGAGCAGCGAGCGCACGGCGCAGGACACCACGGCGGTGCAGCTCAGCCCCGCCGCCTCGGCCGCCTCCTCGGGCCGCTCCAGCCCTGGCTCCGGGCCCTTCTCCCTGGACGCCCCCGAGCCCGCCGTCCTCTACACGCCACGCACCAAAGGGGTCCGGCTCAACATGCCCCGGGAGCGCGTCGCCCCCTAGCGGACCGGGCGCCTGGCCTTGAGGCCCCTGTCCGGTTCCCTCGCTTCAGTGCCCTTTAAGGAAAAAGGAGGAGTCGAAAGAAAGAAAAGAAAAAGGAATTTTTAGTACGGGTCGGGGGCCGGGCACAGGTGTTCTCATCTGTTCCATCTCTGGAACCGCTGAAGAGGTGAGAAGGGTCGATGGTGTCAAGTTACATCCCCCAAAGGAGGGAGCAGTACCTTGGCTCTTTAGGTGGGGTTTGCTGGGTCCTGCTTACCCCACTCCCCAGACTTGATGACACTGGATCCCTGGGCCTTCCAGCCCTGGCACCACCGCTGCCCGTGGCATTTGGGCGCTGTGAAGGGAGCCACTCTGAGGGGGGCTAACTGCCAGCAAGGCCTGTGACCCCAGGGGATGGAAGAGAGGGGGAGACAGGAATGTCAGCCTGGGTGTTCTGATGCTGCACGCTGCGATGGGCTGCCAGCTCCCCCTCCTCCCCTTCCTCCCCTTGTCTCTACCCCAACATGACCTTTCGGGATTAAGGGGAGAGGGGTCCTGATTTGAGCCAGCATAGTCCCTAAGGTAGATCTGGGTTGGGCACACTCCACCCCTTCTGCCAACTAGAGCAGGGGGGTGAGGAGGGGCCCACGAGTGGTGAGAAGCCTCCTCCGACCCTGAAGGTCTCAGTGTGATCCTCACCAAGCATTCCCAATGTGCCTCGCTTTTCAATAAAGCACCTTTGGAGTCAAGTCCTCTGTGGAGTGCAGCCTGGGAGGGAGGAGCTGACTATGGGGCCTCTTGGCTGAGCACCCTGGACTCTGGAGTCATCCCAGCCTCTGGCCAGGGCTTCATCATCACGGCACCAGCCCCTCCTGGAGACCTGGAAGGAGGCCCCAGGGGAGAGGAGAGTGTGACTGAACAAAAGACCATCTGAGACTGTGGGTGCCTGTGAAGGTCCGTGAGAGCAGGTGTGTCAGATGGGGGCTGGATGAACATGTGAGTGTGCCTGTGGGTGACAGTACCTGGCTACGTGGATGAGATGAGGAGGGTGGGAGTTTGGGTGACACTGTTTGACATAACACCTGCTGTGGGAGTGTGAGGGTGGTTGAGAGCTGGGTCACCAGGTGGGAGTGGTGGGAGAAGAAGGGCTCCCCAGGGCTGTACAAAGCCTAGACGTTTCACCTGGCCTGTCTGGGCTTGCAGTCTAGGCTCAGCCTGTGTTCTCTCCAGGGGTAAGGGCATCTGATAGATGGATGGAGGCCGCCTTGAAAGAAGAAACAAAGGGATTGGGGACTCAGGAAAGGCACTGTAACAGAGCCAGACCTTCTCACTGCAGGGACCCAGGCAAACAGTGCCCAGTCACTGGCCCACCACCCCTTGCTGGTCATGATTCCCAGGCCATCTACCCTTGGCTTCATCAGCCTCTTTTCTTTCTAGGGTGGGCTCTGCTGCTCTTCTGCCCAGGCTCAGGCACTTCCACCAGCCCTGGGGTTCTGTCTCCCTTCTTCTAAACCCTCTCTGCCTCTCCCTCCACTGCTGTCTCCTCCTCCCACTGGCCTGGGGAAGAATGATCTCAGTAGGTACTGAACAGACCATCTCATTAATTCACATGGGTCAATGGGCCCTAACCTTCGAAGCATTAAGAGACCCTGGAGCTGGTTGCCTCTTCTCAGAAGTGTGTGTGTGGCCAGATTCCAGTCCTGTCTTGCCCTACTTCACTGGTCTGCAGCCTCAGACGCCACCTGCTGCCTTAGTAGAGTAGGAAGTGAGAGGGGCCACTGCTGGTACTGCCTTGAGGTGTGGTCAGGACCACCCTTCTTAGGAGAAAAACCCCCAGATTGTAGGCCTGAATGCTGAAGGCCCAGACCAAACCCCTCTCCCACCTGCTGGCAGAGCCTGGAATCATAGCATCAGGCCTCTTTCCTCAGCTGGGGGCAGGAGGACTTCAGATCCTGTCTGGGAGCCCAGCTGCTAGGGAGGAAGAGTGTACATGGGATGTACATCTAGGCAATGGCCCTAAATGGATCTTATGAGTGAAAAACATGGGAACTGGGGACGGGACAGTGGCTCCCTGGAGTCTCCCTTACTGCCAACCCCAACTGAAGGTCATCATTTGTTCCATCTGATGTTCCCTCGCCCTCCACAGGCACACCAGGAGATAGTTTCTATACCCCAGCGCGCACTTTGCAATCAGCCAGCCCTGGCAAAGCCTGCTCCATCTCTCCAGGCCTGCCACCCTGGGAGGCTCCCCCTTCGGGCCACTCCAGGGCAGCTCGCCCAGCCACCCAGGAGCCAGTGAGGCTCAGATGTAACCCCACTCTCCCCACAGGTGGAGGCTGGAGGGTCAGTCTGTCCCCATCCCTCAGCAGGCCCCTCCCAGACAGGCTGTAGTCCCTGAGGACAGATCTGGGGCTCCAGGGAGCCAGCAGGAGGGGATGGGGGCAGGTTTCTGTGGAAGGTGAGGACACAATTCTCACCTCCAGGTCTTTGAGCAGGGTTGGGCTACTCCTGCAGAGATGCTGCAGAGCGGCCCTGGGATGAGGGCTGAGCCCTTTCCTTCCCACTCCTGGCCCTAAGACTCTAGAACTGAGGCACCAAGGCCTGTCCTCGGGGGGCCCAGGGGCTGCAGTGGATGCCCAGCTGGTCCTTCTGGAAGGATAGTGCTCACTAGAGCCTGGGGGAGCTCAAGGGTGTGCCACAGCGAGCCTCCCAGAGGGGACTACTGATGGCCTGGACCAGGGAGACCACTAAGGGGCCAGGAACCTGGATCCCCTCCCTGTCTTCCTGCTAGAAAAAATAAACACAGCTACTTAGGGCCATTTGAAAATAATTAACTCAATAAATGACTTTCAAACCCTGTTATGTGCCCAGCATTGGGAATATAGTGGTCAACAAACTCTGGGGGAGCTTGCGTCCTACTTGAGGAAGACAGACAATAAAGAAATAAGCAGGAAGCAAACAAGACAAAAAATATTAGCTAGTAGACAGTGCTGTGCGGCAATCCATGACAGGAAGGCATGACACAGGGACTCATTGGATGCCTAGGGAGGTCTTTTCTGAGATGACATTTAAGCTGCACTCTGACAAGAGTCAGCCACATAAAGGTCTAGAGCAAGAACATTTCTAGTTCAGGAATAGGCCAGTGCAAAAGCCGTAAGGTGGGAATGAACTTGGCATCCGTGTGTCAGGCCAAGACAGGACTATAGAGAGAGGGTGGGAGATGAAGCTGGGGACTGGGGTGAATTGCTCCACTCGTATAAAGCTTAGTAAAGCAGAGTGAGGAGTTGGGATTTCATTCACAGTGAAATGGGAGCCACTGCAGGGCTTTAAGCAGGGAGGTGACATGATCTGATTTATGATTGTAAAATTACGCTCTGCCTGCTGTGTGGAAAATGGGGGCAGGGGTGGTTAAGAGTTTACTGCTGTGAGGTATGCTGGCTGCTGGGACTGGAGTGGTGGTTCTGACATGGACAGAAGTCTACACCCATATTTGAGCTCTCCCTATTGTGGGAGTTTAGGAGGAGTCAAAGAAAGGAATCCAGGAGAAAGTTTTAGAATTTCAGTGTGAGCAGCCGGTGTGTGGAAGGGCTGTGGTAAGACAGAACCAAGACTAGTCTAACCTCTGGATCCACGGGAGAGAAACGACCCCAAGTTGCCCACGTCTGAATCCCACCTAACCTTCTGCTGATGCAGTGCCTTTCTGATGAGGTCTGTAGACTAGGAATTTGGGGTTAGAGGGGAGTGGAATGTGAGCTCAAGACATTGGGACTTCTGGCTCATCCAGAGCTGTGCACTCAGTGCTTACCTGGCCCAAGGTAAGTGCTCAATAAGAATTTGTTGAGTGACTGAATGAGTAAAGGGTATGAATCTTATCATGCAGCAAAGACTCCAGGTCCCCAACAACAGGGCATTATCAAGATGCCTGGTTCTGCGCAGGAAGGGAGAAAAGGTCCTCATGTGTGAGGGAGTTCCCCTAACCTTTTTCTTCTGTGTGGGGAGGTGAAGTGATGCAGAAGTGTAGAGCAGAAGTGTACAGGGGCCTGATGGATGTGCCTGAGGGCCAGACTCTGAAAAGTAGGTGGCCAGGTTGGCCAGCCCAAGGAGATCGGCACTGCTAAGGAGTGCCACCAGAGGGCACCCTGGGCACATGACAGGGGACAGAGACAACAGCCCAGCCAGACTGAATAACTGCAGTTTGGTTTACTGAGCGCCAGGGCCCTGAAGAGTGGGGGGAGCAAGAAGGTGGGTGCACACTGGGTAAGGGGTTGTAAATTTCCCAGATTTACTAAGTGATACCTCCAACACTGGAACCTGACCTTATCACAGAGGGAAGCCTGACCCTGGACATAGACTTAGCCTTTATCAAGGTCCCAGGTAAATCCTGAGTCTGGTCATAGACTGAACCCTCACCCTGATTTAGATTGAGCCCTCATCCTGGTCCATACTGAGTCCTAACCTGAGCCTGATCCTGGTCACACTTAGAGCCTTGGCCCTGCCGGGTCCACACACTGAACCCTGATCCTGATCTCAGACTGAGTTCTGACTCAGTCCACAGACTGAACCCTGACCTTTATCAAAGATTGAACCCTGACCTGGACACAGACTGAGCTTTAATCACTGACACATATAAAACTCTTATTCTCATTACAGATTGAGCCCTGAGCCTGATCCATACACTGAGCCTTTATTCTGATAACAGACTGAGCCTGACCCTGGTCATGGAGCCCTGAATCTGGTTCCAACCTGAACTCTGACCCTAATCCATACATTGAACCCCAACCTCGAACAAAGACTGAGCTTTCATCATGATCACAGACTGAGCCTGATCCCTAAGACTTGCTCCCCAACACCCCACTGACATAAGTACCTTCTACGCTTTATTAAATTCTCATCCAGGCAAGGCTTCAGCTCCAGAAGGAAGTAACTCCTGGAAATGCTTTTGAGGGGAGAGAAAGCATTCTGGGTCTCTGAATGGTTCAGAAACCCCTGGATATTAGACCCCTGAAAAGCCAGGCAGAGAAAGCCAGTTCTAGGCTGTTCATAAGAAGAGGAAAGAGGGATAGCTGGGCCTTCCTGCTGCATGTATGTCTGGGGAGCCTCAGGCTGGGATCGTCTCTGTCTGCACTTCTGACTCCCAAGGACTTGGGCAAGTCCGGCCCAAGAAAAGGAGATCCTCTGTGTGAAGGGAGAGGGACCAGCCCCTGTGTGAGGACCCCAGTCCCCACTCAGTTTCCTGGCAGGAAAAGAAGCTCCCTTTTTCAGGCTGGTCACTCCAAATAGGCAAAGCAAAGTGAATCATGCTCAAGGTGGCACCAGCCTGGCCTCAGCCTCAGGCTGGCAGCAGCCCATGAGACAGGAGCATGGAGGTAGCATGGGTCAGGAAGTAGATGTCTCAGAGGTTCCTGTACATTCCTGGGGTCTGTGTGTGTGAGGGACAGGCAGTCAACAAGACCACACAGCCCATCTCCAGGGCACACTGACCAATTCAGTTTCAGCCCTTCCCAGGGTCTGGCCTGGGTGCCTTGCCCCTGCAGGGCCAGGCTGGCCTTGGCCAGGCTTACTGGCCTCCAGCTCACCTTGGGAGGCAGCGAGGGCGGGGGTTAGGGGCTGAGCCAGGCAGGAGCCAGGCGGGGAGGGCTTGCGCTGCTCCAGTCAAAAACGCTGACGCCAAAGACAATGAGCTCTCCGAGGCTGAGGCGACTCATTTGGTCCCGGCCACGCTTTATTAAATTCTCATAAACCTGTCAGGGGGGACAGGGCTCGCTTCAGTTTACCTCATTAGCCCGACACAATGACAGTGGGGGGGTGGGCAGAGGGAGGGGGTGGCAGGGGAGGCCTGTACTCAGCGCTGAGAACCGAGCCAGCCGGGAAGATAATTGAATTAAGTGGCTTTTGTTAATGGTTTTTAAGACTCCAAAGTGTAAATAACATTTAGGGGCTTTCTTTTAATGGGGCTGGGGTTTTAGAGACCCAGTGAGCTTAGAGAAGGCCCAGCGGGGTACCGCGGCTCCCCCACCACAGGGGAGTTATGGAGGGGACAGCCACTAGAACTGCCAAGGGGGCCTGGAAGGTGGGCTGGGAG